TCTTCTCTTAATAGAATCATTCTGCTTTGTTTCTATCAGTGTCTATGTACTATATCTTTGGTTACCCTGTTACTTTTCACTTACTATTTGCTGGGAGCCATTAGCCAAGTAGGTATGACAATTTCCTTGCCAGCGTACCCCATGTTGCTGACATGTTGCAGTGACATTGAATGTAAGTGACCTTGCTCAAGGACCAAGGCAGATTAGGGTGTTCCCGGTTTTAAGATAATCGTGTTTAGGGCGTTCCCGGTTTAGGTTCCAGGTTTAAGGTTTAAGATTATTCCTGCTGGGAATAGGGCGTATCCTGCTGCCTGAGTTCCCCTTGAGTTCTCACGGGATTTAGACAATATATTTTGGAGATAGAAGCCCAGTGGAAGTGGATTTGGGCAGAGAACGTGGATTTGGGAAGAGAACGTGGATTTCCCCAGAACGTGATTGTAGACGGCTGGTGTGAGTTCGGGAATAAAGAGTTGCTGTTTGAATCTACAAGCTGTGTGGTGGCTCGTGATTGTGTGCCCAGCCAGACTGCGGCATTTGTGCCCAGCCAGACTGTGGCACTATGTCTTCATTATTTCAAGTGAGGTTCTTATAGACTGAACATAGTTACCAGGACAGGTAAGCGTGGAGTTGTCCTTGAGTCACTGTGTCTTTGGGAAATCTGGGTATGGACCAGTTCATTTAAAGGGATTGAAAGAAAACAGATCTGGGAACACGAGAACAGGCTTTGAAGTGATAAAGAAAAGAAAGAAATCAGCTAATGTAAAGAAGTAGGGCAGAACCCGGCTGCAGTGGCACATGCCTGTAATGCTAGCAGCTAGGGAGGCTGAGACAGTAGGATCACAAGTTCAAAGCCAGCCTTAGCAATGGAGAGGCACTAAGCAACTCAGTGAGACCATGTCTCTAAATAAAATACAGCATAGGGCTGGGGATGTGGCTCAGTGGCCCCTAGGCTGAATCCCTGGTATCAAATAAATAAATAAATAAAAATTAAAAAAATAAGAAGTAGGGCAGAGCACTGAGTTGGTGACCTGAGATGTTGAGCAAACAAGCAACATAGGCATTGGATGGAATTCAAAGCAGACAGCTGCTGCCACCTGGGAAATCCAAAGTTTATACTAGAGATCAAATTAAAAGGGTTCAAGGCCAGAGAATACAGCTACTGAAAACTGAAGGAGGCTGGACTCTGATGCTGCAGCATAGGACAGGGAGTCTGTGTATCTGGGGAACTGAGTGGAGCTACTTGGCGGGGGCATCAAGGTCAAAGAGGACCTGCTTCAAGATGGAGTTAGTGATACCCTAAAGGACACTTCATTTTCACATGGGATGTTTTAGAGTGTGGGATGAGGTGATCCAGCAAATAGGAATTATGTAAGTGCAACTCTAGTCTTAGCATTCAGGTGCAGGAGCCAAGCAGGACATTATAAGATTGATGGGCATGTTTGCTTGCCCAAATTCAGGGTTTTGATTTTGCCTGGTGACCTGAAGATAAGAGAGGATTAAAACAGCCAGAAGGTAGATGTTCTAGATTTTATTTTGATACTATTTTTATTTTGAAGTATATGTGTTTGCTGCCAGTATGAAGCACTTTTTTTAAGAATACAAGTATTTTTAAAAAGCATGGTGGATGCTATGAATTTAACAGAAAGTTAAATGTAAAATATATTCACAAGAAATGGAAATTCTGCTCTAAATATTTATTGTGTACCTACTATATGGCAAACATTGGTCTATGCCAGTCCTGGTCTAAGACTTCAGGGATATTACAGTTTTCGTGCGGGCATATGATCAGAAATGGTTAACAAACATTACACAAACAAATGTTAAATTGCAACTGTTACAAACATTATAAAGGAAGGCACCGATTTCTTTATGAATGAGGGGAATTTGGCTCATACAGAGAGGTCAGGGAAAGATTCTCCAGGAGCTAATGTTGAGAAGCAATGTGAAATATTAATTAAGAAGGTGAGGGAAAAGTGGCCCAAGAAGAGGTCTGTGGCAGATCAGAGCATGGTTACAACAGCCAGTTTGGCCAGAGTGCAGGGAATAAGGAGAGAATGGTCCAAGATGATATTAAGATTTGCAGGCACAAATCCATCAGGAGTGCACTGCAGAAATTTTTCAGAGAAACTATGAGGTTTTTTAGTTAGTATAAGAAATTTGGGAATGAGGATGACAGTGGTGGAATGAGTATGTAGATGTGTGTGACATGATTCGATTTAGAGATGACCTTGGCTGTTCTGGGGGATTAAAAAAAGGAGAAAATGTGATTATAGATTACAGGTAGACTAGTCAGAGGTTATTTCAGTGATAGAGGTTAGAGACATGAAAGCTCAGACTTGAGGTTGTATGCAGAGGCAAAAAGAAGTAGATCAGTAAAACATATTTAAGAGATAAAGTCAACAGGACTTGGTGATGGATTGGACATGAGTGAGAGGGATATCAAACATGAATCTGTAGCTTTGGGTTCATGCAACATGTTGGCTAGGAGGTGGTTTGGGGGAGAGGTCATGAGTGCAGTTCTGGACATACTGAACTTTTTAGGCATTTAAAAATTATCACTAAAAAATAGGTCAATGTGTAGGACTGAACTCAGTGAAGAAATTGAAGCTAGAGATTTGAATTTGGGAGCCTTCTGCACAGATTAGTGAATGAAGTGATGATGTGGACGGCATTGCCTAGGGAGGTATTAAAAAAGAACTAGGTGGTCTATAAAAAAAACTGCTGTATGTCAAGATGAAGCCAAGTGAACATCTGAGAATGTTCTGGTTTTATTGACATGGACGCCATTTTTTATGTCAGCAAGCACTGTTTGGTGGAACAAAAACACTGAACTTCCAATGGGATATGGAGAGGTACAATGATAGGTGAGGAATCAGAAGCAGCAGGTGTGAACAGCCCCTTGAGAAACTTGACAGAGAAGAAAAGGTGAGGGAGGACAGTTGTTGAAGGGAGAATATGATTAGTGAAGGGGAAAATCAGCATTATTATTTGAAATGCTTTAGTTAAATTGAATAGCTTTTAATGACCATAATAAAAATTGAGCTTTGAGAATAAATAGACTGTGCAAAAGAACCAATGTTCATTAAATCATTTTTCTGTGCTGCTTCTTAATTGGTAATTGGTTTTCGGCCCTGACATATTTGCTCGTTAATTGCTAGGCTTCCTATTTAATCATGCTTTAATAATTCTCTCAGGAGGACATGGCTGAAAAAGATCCAAAGAGAGACCTGAATTCCTTTCCATAAATTGCCCATGCTAAGATAGGACAACTACAAGAAAGTTTTCTCTGTAAAATCTCAGCCCTGTTTTTATTTTATGCTCTTAAATGTTCACCCTATAGGGAGAATGATACTCAAGGGAAAAGGGATTTTGCAAGTTCCATGTGCTTCCTTTTTGTGCTCTTATTATAATTACAAGCAACTATCTTTTTTAAACATATTTTACTAGTATATTTTAAAAAAATAGATGGAATGTGAGCTACCCTGTGGAGTGTATGACATGCCCTCAAGTTAACTTTGAAAGGTGATTAATTATAGTGGTGTCTGTTCAGTTTCAAAGTTCAAATTAAATGTACTTCAAAACTCTTATCAAAGGGAATATATTTTACACACCTGTCACTTGTGAGAAGGGCTGATTTGAGTTGAAATTATGAAGGAGGTAAAGCTAATCACTAGAACCCTGGCATACCCCACTCTGGACTGTTGAATGAATGTATCTTCTAATACCCATTGAGAGGCCCTATCTTAAGCACTCCGTAACTAATTCTCCCCAAGTTTATGTGATTTCACAGAATTGATGTAATTCAATGTTGGAAAGGACTTTCAGAGTTCACTGAGGCGTGAAGGAACAAGGCTGAGTCCTGGGTGAGCAAGGGAGTAGAGAATGCCTGAGGGCTTTGGGTTGTCAGCTCAGCATCCACTATAGCAGAGGGCAGCAAACTAGAGCTCACAGGCAAGTCCAGTCCAATGCCTGTTCTTGTAAATAAAGTTTTATTGGAATGCAACCACACCCATTTATTTACATATTCTCAGTGATTGTTTTCCTTCTGTGGCAACCGACATAAATAGTTGCTGTAGAGACCATGTGTATTCACTATCTGACCCTTCAAGTGGCCAGCTATAGCACTGGTTGCCAATCCTGGCTGTACTTTAGAAAGTTCTAGGTTGCTGGGTCACATTCCTGACCTTCTCATCCCTGATCTTTCAGGATGGAATTCAGGAATCAGCATGTGTAAAAAGGATTTTAATGCAAAGTCAAGTGAAGAATCACTGCATTATATCATGCTGCCTCTAAAGCACATTTTGCCTTGAATATCCATTTCAGGTTGCAAGTGCCTCTTTTATATGGGCTGTGAGACTGAAAAAATCTCTCCAGAGCTATGCCCAGCAAACTTTTGCTGGTATTAGAATCTCCTGCCGTGCAGGTTAGAACTCATATTGTCACACCTCCAGACGTTCTGACCAGCAGACCTGGGGTGAGGTAGAGTGAGCCTTTTGAAGAAGCTCACAGTGGTCTTAATGCTGGGGCCCAGTGGACAGCGTAGACCTAGGTAAAAAGGGCTTGCATCTCCAAGATGCCAGAGTCAGGTCCAATAATCCTGGGATGGGAGTGGGCATGTATTTATTTATGGACCATCTGCTGGAACTGTTCTAGACTATATTTGTAAAGACAACCACTCCTCTGCTGATGGTCATTACTTTGCCCTTCTCTATCCCACCTCTGAGACTAAACTTCAAGCAATCTTTGCACTAGGTTTCTATCCTTTTCTATCCCTTAATCACTTATCTTTTATTGTTTTAAAATTGCCTGTGGGGTATTTTTAGTCTTTTTTAAAAAAGTATCTTTTTGACTCAAGATGGGCTGAGGGCAGATATGAAACAGTTTCAGATATTAAAGAAAATGAACCCTCGCAAAATTGTAAGGGAAATCAGAAGTTTGTAAAAATTGTAAATGTGAACACATAAAATGGCAAAAAGGCAACAGAGATAGGCAGAGATCTGTTTCGGTGCCACAAAATTGATTTTATTTTGAACCAGGAAGCAACAGCAATCAAGAGAATAGTCTGGACTAAGGGCGTGGCAGCGTGATTCAAGTACCAAGGAGTGACTTTGTCCAGTGCAAGGTGGAGTAAAGAAAAACAATTTTTCATTCCCAAACTAAGCTCCTCCAAATCATGATACTTTTCAGTGATTCCCATTTACACAGGCTTGGATTATTTTACAGATTTCGGATTTTGTTAAGTAGTTCGTAAACATTTTTGAAGGAGTCACTGCAGAGAACCTTTGAATTGACGACGTCCACTTTTTTTGGTATATCAGGCACTGAATCAATTATAGAAATATTAAAATGTATTTATGCATTAGAGTTTTGCATTTCAAAAAGGCCAACAACCAAGAACGTTTGAACTTGGAAACAAGTGATATTTTGGGCCAGATACCTCTTTGTGGTGGTGGAGCTGCAGGATGTTCAATGCCATCCCTGACCTCTACCCACTAGATGCTGGTAGCACTGCGTCCCCCAAGTTGTGACAAGCAAAATTGACTCCAGACATGGCCAAATGTCTCCTGGGGGGTAAAATAGAGCGCAGAATGAGGAGCACTATTTTCAAAAACTTCCTCCTGCCGTCGTCATTGTCTTTGTGTGCTTTTTGGTATTTCATGAAGGCAGACCAGATGTCAACTTCCCAACACCAGATATACATGTCTGTGAGCACATAGGCATGTGTCTCTGCAGGCAGTTGCAAATGTGCCTGGAGCTGGGATGGAATTCCACGTTGACTAGAGGGCACTAGTTCAGTTCCTCAGAAGTTAAAGGTCAATATAGCAGTACCATAATTAAAAGCCTGTTGATTCAGGCTATCTCCTCTTGTCCAGCAGAAACCATCATCCATATTTGCAGTCAGTTTTTGAAGTCACTTTCTTTAAAGCTGGAAAGAAAATCTTCGCCTAAGTCCACCCTCATCTTAATTCACCATTTAGATTCCTACTTGAATGATACAGCCAGCAATTTTCCACTTTGGATCCAGACTTCTTTCTATCCACTAGGAAGAGAGGTACCATGTTTCTGAGTTCTGCTATCAGGACTGACTACATAATTTGCAGGACCCGGTGCAAAGTGAAAATGCAGGCCCTTTGTTCAAAAATTATTAAGAATTTCATGACAGTGACAGAAGAGCATTGAACCAAGCTTAGGGCCTCTCTGAGCCCAGGGTTCTGGGATACTGAGCTATCATACAACCATGATGCCAGCCCTTGTAACTTTGGTTGGTGCCATGTCAATTTTGTTGTATTCATTTAATTGGCACTGCCATCTCTTTTGCTCCTATATTGAAATGCTTCCGGTGAAGTGAAGACCTCAAAAAAGTAAAATAAAATATTGTGACCCCAATCCATTTGAAGAGAATGCATTATTATACTGCAGCAAATGTTTACAGCATATATTTTTTTAGACTTTCAAAAAAATCCACATGGAAATTTTTTCTACACCATTACAGTAATTAAAACACTGTGGCCTTTCACCATATACATATTTTCCTGTAAATGTGACAACCTGGAAATAGTAGCTGCTACATCCACAATGGTTTTAAGTTAGCCAAAAGTGAGACTTTCACAACAAAATTATAACATAATCTCTTATCCTTATAAAAATAGCCAAAACATACCCTAAACAGCTTGGAGTGAAAACTTGAGTAGTAACATCTTTATATTGAAAAACATTATATTCATGGAAATAGTGTCCTTCCAGTAAATGCTTTCTGTTAACATCATAAGGCAAACTGTAGCATTTATTGGTACCTGGAGACCATGGTTTTAAAAACTCAGAAACTGAGTTTTAGACCCTTATATTCAGAACCTGTAAGTGTACAAAGTGCATTAAAATATCCATTATCCAGTAACCCAAAATGTATGTAAAAATTACTGAGAGAACCCTTTCTATTTATTCAGGGAAGGCAAATACACATTGTTTTACATTGTTAAACAAAAGAAAAAACATTTAGTTGCCAAAAAATGATTCGTTTTTTTTTCATTGAGGTGTCTATTTCTTAGATGTGTAATTGTCTTACATAGCTATCAAAATATTCATCTGGGTATAAATAATGTAGTAAATATATAGAATTTATCCAATAAGAAAAAGGACAGCATCTGCCAGGGAAGAGACAAAAGGACACAGGAAGCTGGCTTGGTCTCCCTCAAAGTCCAGTTTGGCAATCACATAAGCCTTGGCCATGTGGTGCTAAAACAATGGGTCTATTGACTTCAGGGAAACGATTGATTTGGTTAAAAGCAAAATTACTAAAAATGATGCCTAAATCTACCAGTCTGTTTATTTATTGGCTGACTCAGTAGCCCAGATAAATATTTTAGCCATCACAAATCTTTCTAGAAGTCATGCCCTTCATCAAGGTAGAACCAATAGCAAACTTCCAGTCCAAAGACCGCTCCAGAAAGCCTTAATTCAGGGACCATTACAATGTGTCAGAGCAGCATGCAAAGAACCCCATCTGACAGTTGATTAGCAGGTTCTATTTGCAGGTTCTTGCATGCAAATAGTGAGTTTCTTTCTTTTTGTTTTTGTTTTACAATTCTATGTTACTATACTAGAATATGGAGGGACTTCTACATCTTTCAAGATGTGTTTAATTAATGTTTGTTTATAATAACTTGAGACATATATTCTAGTGAATAGTGTTTTATGCAATGTTCCTTGCTATTACTAACTCATAAATATTAAGTGTTTTTCAGTGACTTATTTTTGGACATGGTAGTTGTGATCAGGGCCATGTGCTGATGTCCTAGAGAACAAAATCAATTCAAAGTGTGCTGCCATTCGTGACAGATTGTGTTTATTTATTTCCTCAGCCCCAGAGAAAAGGGAAAAAAATCAATTGGGGAAAGGGGAAATAGGACAACTATTAAATGTAGTGAAGAAATTTCATATGCCTAAAAAAACTATTAAAAGGATAAAATAGGATTATATCATCAAACAGAATCCTGCTTCTGAGAAAACACAAATCAGCCTAAATTTCTGAATAATCTGTAGGATTCAAAGTGACTATTTTCAATTGCAATCTCATTCATAATATTAGCCCAGAATCCTTAGCCCTGTGAGAAGCAGGGTTATGTATGGCCAAAGGTTTCAGAACCTTTCTTCCCAAAGTTATCCCATCAACCACCAGAGAGTAAAGATTGAGCCCTGGCTAAGTCTGAGGTTCAAAGTTCAATTCAAAGTCAATTTTATCCATTCTCCTTCTTACTCTATTCTAGTTGATCCACAAGTTTTTGACATCACAGTTAAAATACTTCAAATTACACCATAGTAAGAAAGCCTGTTTGTTTCCCTACTAGGTTAAAAATTATCTGTATTTAAAATAGCTGCATATTCTGTAATGCACTGTCAAAGTGACAGGACCTACCATGGGCTCAGTATGAAATATTATGTGAGAAAGTGAATAAACATACAAATCTACAAAAGGTTTTTTTGTTTTGTTTTCTTTTCCTTTTTCTTTTTTTGCAAGCCCATAGACAGTGATGAAATAAAAGTTGTAAAGAGCTGGCAAACTTATGGGCCTCTCAATGTGCAAAACCAAGTCATTCCTAACAGTTGTAATCCCGATTATGTTTCTTTTATAAATAATCTATAGGTTTTCCTCTAAATACAAAACAAATTATTAAAGCCTGTACTTAATACAAAACACAGTAAAAGAAAAAGAAATCTCCCATTTGAACCCTATTTTAGCTGATTTATGGACAGTTTGGGGGAGATTTAATCACACTCTTGAAACCTGTGCTTTCTTAATCCCCTAAATAGTGAATAATAGCCTCAAACTTTGTTACTCCTGGAAAGCAGCTTCATGTGGTCAGATGCTCACGGCAGCTGCTCTGTACAGTCCAAATGGTCTGGGATAGGAAGACCAGTTATAATCGTCAAACACTTGTTCCACAAGGTGAAGGTGGGGCACACAGGCTGTGCAAATGCCACATCGAAGGTGTAGAGGTGGATGGAGTTCAAAGCATCATAAAAAGCGATGGAGCCATTATCATAGTCTAGCAGGATGCCAACGCGTCGCAGGTGGGGGGCTGGCTCGATGGGGATCTCCTTGCTGTTGTGTCTCACCACCCAGTTATTGTTACAGCGGCAAAGGGCCCAGGAAGCAGAGTTCTTCCCAATCCATTCATGCTTTGGGGCTGATTTGTAAGCAAGGCCAATGGCATACCTGCAGAGACAAAATAGCAACAACAAAAACAGTGAATGACATTGCGTGTGTGTGTGTACTTAACCTGTTCTATGGTCAATTTTTTTTCCATGGGGTTATAAAAATGTGATCATCTGTTGTCTCTGTTCATTCTCTTTAAGTGAAAGATTAGCTAAGAACCCCAACACCTGTATTCCTCATCTTCTTCTCTCCTAAACATACTGTAGGCAGAAAGGGGCCATTGTATTTGTCCACAGTCTTGTTTTCAGTTCAAACACTGCAAAAGAATCTTCACTACATACTTTGTTGTTTTACTTTCTCTCATGAATTGCCAGTACCAACAGATACAACTTTCTACAATGATTGAAATGTTCTGTTCCATTCAGTACGGTGGCCAGGAGCCACATGGGCTATTCAGGCACTCAACTGGCTAGTCAAACTGAGGAACTCAACTATAAATTTATAGATGGTTCTTGATGGTCCAATTTAAAGATTTTTCAACTTTACAATGGTGTGAAAGTGATATGTATTCACTAGGAACTTTCTTCAAATTTTGAGTTTGGATGTCTTCCTGGGCTAGTCAAATGAAGTATGATCTTCTCTTGCAAAGCCAGGCAGGGGCAGTGAGCCACAGTTCCCAGGCAGTCACATGATCACAAGGGGAAGCAACTGTTCCTGTACTCTTCCATGAAATACATTCAATAAATTGTGCAGTTAATTATACAGTGGGCTTCATGTTAGATCAATTTGCCCAACTGTAGGCTAATTTAAGTGTTCAGAGAACATTTAAAATAGGCTAGGCTAATCTATGATGGTCAGTAGATTATGTGTAGTAAATCCATTTTTCACTTATGATATTTTTCCATTTACTATGGGGTTTTCAGGACGTATCCCCATCATAAGTGGAGGAGCATCTTATTTAATTTTAATTAAGATAATTATTTAAATAGCCACATGTGGTTTATGGCTATGATATTGGACAGTGTAACCTAGACTTGTCCTTTTGATCTTCTTTAAATTTTTCAATTGTAGTTTTCCATGACTTTGAATGCACTTTGCCAAAGGCAAGTGATGAGAATGATTTCCATTTATGAGGATAAATCCCTTGTCATCATTCAGTCTCAGTTTCTCATCTATAACACTGGGACAATAATAGTCTCCATCTCCCAAGCTTATTTTAAGAGGTAAAAGAGAAAAAAAAATGCATTTTAAATCCTGGGCCCAAGGCCTGACATGTAATATTCAGTAACTATTACTTCACTATAATGTCTGATGACACATTAACAGTAAGTACTGGAATCAGAATTTGAACCTAGGATGACTCAAAAGGCCACAAACTTATGACACTTTATAATGCCGTCCCTTACCAGAAATTGTACAAGTCACCACTGCCAAGAGCTCTCCTGATTATATTTCCTAATATTTTTAAATTTTAAAAATATCTTTGAGTGGAGAGATATCCAGTTATCCTAAATGCTCTCACTGTTCAAAACTAAAAATGTTAAGATTTTTTTCTACAATGTTCTAAGCTTCTTAATCTCCTTTAACATCTCTGAGACATGCCCTGTAATATTCAAAGCATTTCACAGTTATTAAGATAAGCAAAACACATCACTCTTAATAGAGTGAATGACTCATAGTTCAACTTTTAATATGTTATAGCAGAAGCCAGTGTAATTGGATATTGACATATGGTACCTTACCCAGTGAAGAGGGGAAAAATTCATTGGTCTTTGTTAAAATGACATTCTTTTAAAAATTACATGTTGAGTTAAAATACAGTCACTTTAAGAGTAGGGAGTTCAAATGAAACTTAATAAAACATGGCATCATCCATTAAATCAATGTGCCAGCCCATCTGTGATGTCAACCCCGCATCCTGTCTTCCCTCATGTTGATCCTCTTCTACTTGTAGAGAGAATTCTTGGTTGCATTTCCCAGAATCCAAAGGTCAGGTTCTGCTATTGCAACGCCCTTGCACAAGATGCAGAAACTGTGAGAGGAGGGGAACTCTGTTCTGATGGTAGACAGTAGATATGAGGCTTGTGGAAGCTTCAGCTGAGCACCTGGCAACACCTGCTTCAGTAGTGGGCAGCCAGTCATGGTGACTCCATGCATAAAGTAGCAGACCAGCTGATTTGTACTCCCAGGGTGCTACAGTCCCATAACTTTTGACTCCCTTCCTTCATGGAGCACCTTGATTGACTTCTGTTAATCTGCCAAGTCTTAACTCATATACTTTGAAATGGTTTTCATTTTGCAATTTAAAATATCTCTCCCAGTGATCTTCTGTATGCCCTGGCAGACGCTATTTCAAGTTTTCAGATAATGTGGGAACTACATTTGCATCACAAAATAACCACATCTGTGTTGTTTCCTTCTTGTTGCTACATACCATATTAATTTTTTATTAAAGAATTTTTATGTTTATTTCCCATTTGAACCTTAACTGAATTCTGTGTAGCTACATCAGGGATGGCTGTATTCAGCAAATAGGAAATATAGAGAAGGTTAAAATTAGGAGCAAACTCCAGAAATCTTCTGCTGCCCTTTTGACTTCTGGTCTAGTAATTGTGGAATGAACTCATTATTATAGGTTTAGTTAACACCATTTCATAAAACACCCAGTGCACATTAACAGCATTAGAGAATAAGAAAATAACCAAGTGCATAGTCCATTAGGCAAAGGAAAATACCATTATATTATCATTAATCTGTAAAACTATGTACATAATTCCATTGAGCTTGAAAGGGGCAAGCACAATGTAATGTTCCATTAAGTTGTGCAGTGAGACATGGAGAATTAAAAAATATATAAAAATTATGTTTCTCAGAGCAATGTTAACATGCCCCATTGCACGGATCATAACATACACGTTAATTTAAAGTCAGGACTATATTTCATGAGAAAATATATGTGTCATTAGCTGTTGTAAGTCAAGGTGTCATAAGCATTTAATAGTAGAGGAACCCCTTCCTTGCTAATTCCTCCCAGGAAATATGAAACTATTCTTGATATGAGGATTTCTCTGAAATTGACACAAACAGGTTTGTAAAGATCCAAAGTGCAGCAATTAATTGTAGAATTTCTTTCCCCCTCAAGAGTTAGTTTTGACATCTGGAGGATGTTTTAAAGGTAATGCTGATCTGTGTTTATGGAACTAAAGTGGTCTGGTGGAATTTCCAGCATTATTCATCAATGGCAATGAGATCATAGTGATCAGCTATCATTTATCATAAATAATTATTAATGGGGTTATAATCATTTAGACATTGAATTCCATCCCAGATTAATATAGCACATTAATTAACTAGAAATGATTGCCTTTTTGCAAGTACATTCATGGTATTTTCCTCTGTGCTTTTCTTTTTATCCAATGCAGCTAAAAATTGCAAATGCCAACCTAGCCCAGAGCCTAGTATGGTGAAGAATTTGCCCTCTACCTTCAGACAGGATGTTGAGAAAAGAAAATGTTCTAGACAAAGAGAATCATGAGGATTACAATAAATGAAATCTACTCACTCATCCAGTAATGGTACCACTATTGGGAGAAATGGGATGCCCAAGCTGATTTTTGCCCACACTAGGAAAGACACATATTGCATTATTTTCATAGATTTGAATTGAAAGGTCTTTTTAAAATGAGAAGTGTTCTATCAATGCCTACACCAAAAGAAACACTGTTATAATACTCACCATCTTCAGGTTATACAGTTTTCAACATTGGTTTTATTTTTAAAGCACAGATGAAGCTATCAGTAAGTATATACTACTATAAGCTCTAAAGAGTAATTAAGCCCTGTGGGGCATGGTGGTGCATGCCTGTAATCCCAGTGGCTGAAGAGGGTGAAGGCAGAAGGATCGCAAGTTCAAAGCCAGCCTCAGAAACTTAGTGAGGCCCTAAGCAACTCAGCAAGACCCTGTCTCTAATAAAATACAAAAAGGGGCCAGGGATGTGGCTCAGTGGTTAAGTGCCCTTGGGTTCCATTCCTGGTACCCCCCCCCCCCAAAAAAAAAGAGTAATTAAGCCATTTCACAAATATGCTGTAAATAGCAGCATAGCACAGTGGTTAAGAGCACAGATCAGCAAATTATAAGGCAGGAATCAACTCTGGTCCTCTGCCGATTTTTATAAATGAAATTTTATTGGCACACAGTCATGCCCATTCATGTATATACTGTCTGTGGCTGCTTTCCCACCACAACAGCAGAGCTAAGGAGTTGACTTGGAACAAAAATTGGCCCATAAAACCAGAAATATTGAGTGTCTGGGTCTTTTATAGATGATATTTGTGGAGTTCTGGCTGAGAGTTTGACCCCTGATTGTGGATTCTTGTCTCTGCCATCTCTTGTGAGTTTCATGACCTTGGGCCTGTGCCTCAGTCACTTCATCTGTGAAAATGGGATAGTATCAAAACCTACTTTTGTAGGGCAGTTAGGATGAAAAAATGAGTAAAATGCTTAGATCAGTGCCTTGCCTGGCACATAGCTGCACCATATGAGGGCTTGTTAAATTAAAGCAAAATAGGTCCCTTTTTGATCAATAGTAAGTCTGCATTTATGAGACAGATGGCCAAAGTAAGGGGTGGAGTTTGTGGCTATGGCGTAGGGAAGGCCAACTTTGCAGTCTTAGCTAATTCTAATGTAGACTTCTTCCTGACTTTGGCACTTAGTTTTAGGGAACCCAGCAGGCTAAGGTCACTGGGCTGGATGAAACAGAACTCTTGAAATTATTCACAAAAGCCTATAATCAGTGCTTCACCTCCACCCATTCTGCCCTTTACTATTTGCACTAATTTTCTAATCTTGAATCACAAAACATACAAGGTAACAAAAATTAGTTTTGTTAAAATAATGAAGAATAATGTTTTTAAGTAGGAATGGCTGATTTTTTTTCTCTAAAAGGCCAGAAAGAAAATATTTTTGGTTTTGTGAACCACATCATTGTCTTAACTACTCAACTCTGCCACTGTGGCCCCTAAATAGCCACAAACAACATGTAAATAAATGGGTATAACTGTGCCCCCATAATGCAGTTTTTAAAATTTATAAAAACAGGCTTTGGAGCTGGGGCTATAGCTCAGTGGCATAGTCCTTGCCTAGCATGTATGAGGCACCGGGTTCAATGCTTAGCATCACATAAAAATAAATAAAATAAAGGCATGCTGTCCATCTACAACTACATTAAAAAAAAAAAAAACAGGCTTTGGGCCATATTTGGCCCAGGGGCTGTAGTCTGCCAACCTGCATTTTAAGGCATCAAAGAACAGTATTTAGATACCAGAGCTCTTCCAGGAACCAGAACTCAATGATCTTGCCTCTAATTCCTGCCATAACTTAAACACACACACACACACACACACACTAATAACAAGTTTTTTTTCCTTATTGGCTGAGGAGTGGGTTAGATGATTGCTTGGCAAATATTCACTCCCTCCTCATGCCTCTGTGGGCTTTGGGATTGGCTATATTAATTTGGCCAATAGGAATTTAGTAGAAATTATAAAAGCAGAGGCTTGAAATGTGCTTGCCTTCTTGGATTCCTTGAGAAGAACATTATGTGGGTGGCCAACACATCCAAGGAGGCTGAAGAGACACAGAACCAGCCTAGTACCAACCTACAGCTTCAAGCAAAGCCTGGTTGAGATTAGCTCTGATCAGCCAACCCCTACATGGGGGTGTTAGTTAGCAATAATAAATGGTTGTTGTTTGAAGCCACTAAACTTTGGGGTATTTGTTATGTAGCATTATTATAGCAATAGCTAACTGATACAGCTTTTCTGCATTTGATTCTTCAGGATGGATGCTTAACAAATTGATGCTCTAACAAAGAACAGAATGAGGGATGGAGATGGGGCTCAAGTGGTAGTGTGCTCGCCTGGCATGCGCGGGGGCTGGGTTTGATCCTCAGCACCACATAAAAATAAAATAAAAGATGTTGTGTCCACTGAAAACTAAAAAATAAATATTAAAAAATTCTCTCTCTCTCTTTCAAAAAAAAAAAAAAGAACAGAATGAGATCTGCCTTTTAATAACAGGAAGAATATAGATAAAAGTTGCCTACCATGTGCTTCCACTTATGACTACTTCCCAGTAATGCCGGCCACTATCAATGAACACATTTCCAGCCACTCCATAGCTCCCTTGGCTGGTGAAGCGTTCAGGCGTATGACTCTTTTTGGATGATGACTCATCACGTTCTACTGTCAAGTTATCATGGGACACCTTTAGTTTTCGATGAGCAGATTTGGGATCCAGTTTAAAAGGTTGGCCTAGAAACAAGTTAAAAAAACAAACAAAAAAAGGAAATGGAAAAACACTGTTTATTTGAACATGACCAATGACATTTTCATAATCAGATTTATAAAACTGGAATAAGTCATCCCTCTCTGAATGATGCCTTCTGTGACAAAGCTATATCTTACATTTTTAAAGTAATTTAAGCATTATAAATAACTTTTAATTTGAAATGGAACCACCATTTGACCCAGCTATCTCACTCCTAGGTTTAAACCCAAAGGACTTTAAATCAGTATACTACAGTGACACAGCCACACTAATGTTTACAACAGCTCAATTCATAATAGCTTACGAATTTAGGAATATTACTTAGCCTTAAAGAAGAATGAAATTATGGCATTTGCCAGTAAATGGATGGAACTGGAGAATATCATGCTAAGAGAAATAAGCCAATCCCAAAGAATCAAAAGCCAAATGCTTTATCTGATATGTGGATGCTAATTCACAATAAGGGGGGGGGGGATAGAGATACTTTGAATTAGACAGAGGGGAATGAAGAGGGGAGGGGTGTGGAGGTAGGAATGATAGTAGAATGAATTGGACATTATTACCGTATGTGCATATATGATTATATGACCTGTGTAATTCTACATCATATACAACCAGAAGAATGAGAAGTTATACTCCATTCATGCATGATATGTCAAAATGCATTCTATTGTCATGTATAACTAATTAAAACAAATTTTAAAAAATAAAATAAAAATAAATAAATAACTTTCAAAGACATTTGCTTACAGTGTTCATGACATTCAAAATATAATTAGGGAGCAGCAACCCTGCATAAAGTATAATGCTAAGCAAGGTAAGAATTAGAACATGGCCCTCCCTTCATGAGCTTCTAGTCCATGAGCTTCTAGCTTCTAGATGGGATCCTGTGGTACTATACTAACTGTACAACAACAGTATGGGCAAGGATCATGGTATGGACTATCTTCAAGGATTCCTGCTGAATACGAGCATCACAGGTACATACTGGCTGTGTAGTGTCCTCAAAAGAAAGAGAAAATGGAGACTTTTTATTTTTAATAAGTACCATATTCAATTGGACCTAAAACATATTTGTGCTCAATAAACTTCAGAAACCAAACAGATCAAGATGTCACATCTTAACATGTAGAATATTCTAAAGGCTTACATTATTCTGAGACTGCTAAAAATTGAAAACCATGAAATTAACCCAACTCAGAAACTCAAAGGTCGAATGTTTTCTCTCATATGTGGAAGCTAGAGCAAAACAAATGAAAGGGAGAGGGAAGGATAAGATTACATAAAGAACCAATCAAATAAAAATTAATAGAAGAGCGAAAGGAAGCCTAGTAGAAGAGTCTAGTAGAGAGACAGGAGGGAGGACTGGAGGGAAAGGGGGAGGTAAAAGGCGGGAAGCATGAATCAATATAGTTTCATGCATGTATGAGTTTTGGGATGAACCCAATTGCTATGTATAACCACAAATCTCTAATAAAAGTTTTAAAACTACTCTTAGGAGTTTAGAATAAGTATAAAATTGTAAAATTTTCGTGTGGCTGTATAACCAATGTGATCCTGCAATCTGTACACGTGGAAAAATGAGAATTCATACCCCATTTGAATCAAATGTATGATATGTCAAGATCATTGTATTGTCTTGAGCAACTAATAAAAAATACAAAAAAATAAAATAAAAAAAATACAAAAAAAGACTAAGTCAATATTTTTGCACATATGCAACTACAAAAATAACAGTGGCATACATCAATAAACACTATTCCTTAGTTAAAAATATTTCAGGTCACAAAATCAGGGAAAAAATATGATAGTAACACTAAGGTTTTCTATTCCTGAGCTTATTCACATATATAATAAATAGGACCCTTTCTACTTCATTATTCATATTTGTATTTTTAAGATTTAACTATTAAAAAATCTTGGCAGAGTGATACTTGGACATTTTGTCATAGCTGTTTTTTCTCTGACAATTCAATATTGGTTTGTATTATTGCCTGTCATTCAACACCACATAGGGTACAAGGCATTTAAAGGCAGGAAATCAGTTACAACCGGATGCAGATACCACAGTATCAAAACTGCACAGCCACTACTGCAGTTGGGTGGCCTTTCTGCCCAACATGCAACTCCCTGACGATTGCAAGAAAAAGTTTGGTAAATCTGACTGGAGTGGGTTGGGGTTGTGGCTTAATGGCAGAGTGCTTGTCTCACACATGTGAGGCACTGGGTTCAATCCTCAGTACCACAGAAAAATAAACAAAGAAACCGTGTCAATGAATCTTTAAAAAGATATTTAAAAAAATTCTGACTAGGGCATCACATGAAGCTGGCTGAGAAATTGATCCAGTAAGCATGGACAGTATGCATTTTGTCATATGGAGGTAAGCCAAAGGATTACCAATGGCTACTTGGATACAAGCATAACATCAGCACCCAGCAGACGTTTTCTACAATGGGCCAGATAGTAAATATTTTCAGCTGTATAGGCCATGTGATTTCTTTGGTAACTATTTAGCTTCAGCATTGTAGTGAGGAAGTAGCTGTAGACAACAGATAAGTGGATGGGCATGGCTACATGGCAATAAAACTTTCTGTACAAAATCAGGGAGCCAGATTTGGCTCTTCAGCTATGGTTTGCTGATTCTTGTTTTAGATTTCTTCCATATAAAAAACAAACCCAAAAGACTTAAAGGGGGGGGAGATAAGAAGACCCTTAAGTGCAAAGTAAGTAGTACCTCACAGGTTGTAAGGACCTACATGTAGTTACACATGTAGTTTAAATTTTGGCTTGTCTTGTTTAAAAAAAATGTTCTAAGGGATGCTCATGCCATCAATTTTTAGGGATTAAACTATGGACTAAGACAAGAAAAAGTAAAAAGATAGCTTTTAAAGCTGAAAGATAAAAGTAAGTAAAACTGATTAGAAGCTAATTGGCAGAGCAGGAAGAAACTCCATCATGGTGCTCATCATTTAAAAAGGCAAAGAACTAGCTACTTGACCTCCTGCCCTTGAGGAATATCAGAATGTTATTGCCATCAGAAAAATTGGACCTGTAATGTTAAAAAACTTCCAGAAATATCTTGCTTGTCTCCGCTCACACTCTTGGCTACTCACACGCAGGGAATGACCCAGCCAGCATCAGTGAGGCCCAGCCCCTGCATTCTCAAAGAGCAAATGCTACCTGTAGCTAAGAAGTTTTCCCAATTACCTACCACTCACTCTTCACAAATGCCAGACTTTTACTTCAATAAGGACAATAAGTAAAGGAGGAAATTACTGGTTACTTCACTAAAGAATTTAATTCATTAGGATATTTGTATAGGGCATGACCCAATTCTTGCCACCAACTTACACAACTCTTACAATATTTCTTTGCTCAGCTGTCAGTCTCCCTTCCTTGGAATCTATTCACCATCATCAACATTATCAAGATCTTATATCACTGTGCAAGAGAACTTTGTTTTATGGAAATGTTCATCCTGCTTCTCTGATTTAAACTCTTCAACCTGCCCCCCACAAACCATTACTCTCCAATGGCCATTGAAGGTTTCACAATCTGGTTCTTGTCTCCAGGATCCTGGCTTGTCCATCCTCCCGACCTATGCCACACTTTCACCATACTGATCTATTTTCTGTTCCACGACATAATCTCCTTGTCTTTGGGCTTTTGCATTAGCAATTCCCTCTGTGTGGAATGCTTCCTCCTTCTCATACATCTTCCCCCACCTGGAAAAGCGCTCAATGCTATGCAGGGGTGCCCCTCACCCCTGTAAATCCAGCATATACATGGTTACTCCTTCATGAACTGAAAGGTAACTAAGCATTTATTTGCTTCATTCCCCCAATATGCTGTGAATCCTTGAGAGAACACATCTTAAGGAGTTGAAGATTCATAGTATTCTCAGCATCTTACACAGTATCTCAAATACACTATGTATTCAAACATACTTTTGAAGGATTAAATACACATTCAAATGCAAATGAAAACTATCCATCCAAGTGTGCATCAAGTATTGTTCTGTGTGTCATGTGGCCATAAAAAACATGCCATCATGTTATGTTTTCTTATGAGAATTATTTATGAGTTTGTCTTCGTGACAGCTTATAAATGAAACTAATATATTCCCATCTTACAAGTGAAGAAACACTAAATGCAACTGAGATTCTAGATTGGATGCTGGGACAGCAATTTAGTTACACCAATGGTGAAATCTGAATAGAATCTACAGTTTAGGTAACGGTAATACACCAATATCAATTTCTTGGTCATGGCAAAGGTATCGAGGTTAGGTAAGATTTTACCATTAGGTGAAGCAGGTGGAAGGGTGTATAGACCTCTGCAGTGTGTGCAGATTTTATGTGAATTTTTAATCTAATGCTCTTGTTCCATCCCTTGATGTTCTTCTAAGGGCCAAAACATGTTCTACAATGCACTGAGAAATCAAAGATATGGTTAAATGAGGGATCCTCTTGAAAGCAATTAATTGTTCCTGTAGACTGGCTGGCAACAGCACAATATGGCGTCATGTAGATACACCCTGATTTGCTTTCTCTGAGGAGGTCTTATGCACAGAAGTACTGTGTTACATTGCATTGCATTTCTAGATCAAAAAGCTGTAAAAGAAAGAGAGGATAAAACAAAACACATGTAGGCAGAGACAGAGACAGAGAGATGACAGTACCATGAGACAAAATTATAGACCAGATCATTCTTTGCACTGGGGGCTGTCCTGTGTATTATGGGATACTTCCCATCATCCCCAGCCTCTACCTGCTAGATGACAGTAGTGCACTCCCCAGTTGTGACAACCAAAAACATCCCCTGGACAGGATGGGAATTGAAAGGGCAGAATCGCCCCTGATTGAGAACAACATACCTAGACAGACATCTTGAATAAAACAGAGAATTTGCTTTGTTTTCTTTTCTCCATCCTTTCCTTCCTCTCTCTCTCCCTCTCCCCACCTGCTACCTCTGTAATGGGAATTAAACCCAGGGGAGCTCTACTACTCTCTACTACTGAGCTACATCCCTAGCCCTTTCTTTATTTTATTTTTATTTCAAGACAGGCAGGGTCTTGTTACATAGCCCCAGCTGGCTTTGAACTTATGATCCTCCTGCCTTGGCCTTCCAAGTAGCTCAGATTACACGTATGCACTACCACACCCAGCTTAATTTGCTTTCCTGCTATAGAAAACTGTCCACCATTTACAGAGCTCCTACTCTATGTCCCCTACTCTATATATTCTATTTCTCATAAGAACTCCTTCAGAATGATTTCCTTGAATATGAAAAAAAGAGAAGACTGAAGTGCTGAGAGATTAACAGCCTCATAGCTTTGAAGGCCTTGAGTCATTTTTGGAACCCAGAGGGAGATGATGCAAATCCCACTACTCCACACTGGTTCTGTATTTTCTTTTTTGAGGTGCCACTGATGTCCAAGACAGGGGGCGGGGGAGGGAGGGAGAAAGAAAGAGGGGAGGTGGGGAGGATGGACAGTGAGAGACAGAGTCAGCTGAAAGGTAAGCAAATGCAAGATGACAACTCTGCTAAATTCACAGCACTTACTGTTTGTCTTCAACTTCCCAGGCTCGCTGCTGCGGCTGCCTGCCTGGTTGATGGCCTTGACCATGAAGATGTACTTGGTGCCACTTTGAAGACCATGCACCGTGTAGTGATTCTGCTTGATGTTGGGCACGATCATCCAGCTATCAGCCGAATTACACAGACCTGTAAAGTCAAACAGATAGGTGCAAGCATGGGCCATGTTTGCATAGTTTTAGGATATCTGAAAGAGTTGGCAAGTAAAGGGCTTAGTCACTTTTTCTAAGGGACACCAATAAATGAGTGCTCTGTGTCCTATCTATGATAGGGGTGCAATCTGTATTACATATTCCTATTGTGTGCTCTGGATGGACCAGTCACTTAGAATTGCTGTATTGCAAATTCTGGTCTTTGTGAATTGGAGCAGCAAAAGTTATTCTATTTGGAATCTTAAGCACTAAACATGTGCATGGTGTGATTTTAGGTGCTGTGGGAATGAAGTGAAAGCAAACATTTATTCCTCCCACTCCACCCTCATCCCCAATATCATGCTGGTTGTCAAATTCTAAATCTCATCAATTCTGAGACACACAGCTCATGAGGAGACCTGAGTCATGGAGAAGAATACTTCACTAATACAAATGTTGTGGATTGTATTTTTGCCTCCAGTTCTTCACCCTGCTGTATCTAGCCCTTCGTGTCTTTGCAGCTGCTCCATCTAGAGAGGTGGGGAATAGTTCTTTCCTTTGACATATGCCTCAAGTCATGTAACTTGCTTTGCCTAATAGGGTGAGGCCAAAACTGACAATGTACCAATTGGAAGAAGAGACACTGCAAGGCCTTGAGGGTTTCTGTTGACCCGCTGCACCTCTGCCATTGCTATGGGGACAACAGTTTTGGTATAGTGTGCTCATCCCAACTGATGAAGCACAGGAACACCCTTACCACCAGGCCAATGTAGAAGCAAGCCCAGGAGAGATCAGTCAACCCCCTACCAATCTCCAATGGGAGAGCTAAGGGTAGTTTGTGATGCTGTATTAATGTGAACTCAGGAATCATATTATGAAAAAAACCCTGGAGCAGCTGCACCTATAGGGAGCTCAGGCCCCAGTGAAGATCTTAGGAAAGCATCCACAGGGAGTTTTGACCAGCTGCATCCTTGAGATGGCTGGTTCCAGAATGGAGAAGACTGCTCCTCTGGCTATATTCTGCAGGATGTGGATTGAGGAGCAGGCCAAGGATTTATGGCACTTGGAAGAACATGTAGGAAAAAGGAAGCTGGTTTTGTTTTGCAGCTGGCCGATGCTGGAAACATCTTTTTGGTATCTGGCCCAACTCTCCTCTCTTCACCCATCAATCTCCACTACAAAAGGACCTTTCCCAGCCCCCTGGTGACTGGGCTGTCATGAAGTTTCCTTTCTGTTGAATTTCCACCACCAGTTCCTAGGAGAGGGCTGGACCTCTTTACTTCCTGAGGTCTCCAAACTCACCTCCCCTATCCTTCCCTTTTGGTTGATTTGCAAGTCAAAAGATTAGTTTCTTTGATCTTGAGGCAACTTATACCTTACCAGGCTCTCAAGAAGCTTCCCCTTATTCTCTCTTTTTTTTTTTGTTGCTGTTTTGTTTTACCTCTGTGAATCTAATAAAAACTTTCTGAAAAAAAAAGAGATTCACAAATGCATACATACATTGAACTACTAATATTTACATAGCAAGATAGGCACAGATCCCTGAAGGCTGTCTTTGAATTGTATTAAATGCTTTCTCAAACTTTTGAGTTAAAATGATTTCTGGTATTCTCACAGATGAGAACTTTTTATTTGTATTTTGTCAGTTGTGAAAACTGACTTCATATGATTTGTACCTTGAGTGCAAAGTATTTTCAGGTATATTCTAGGGAGTATTTGGAAATATATATCTCCATATGGATATACATGGACAGAACATATATATATATAACATATATATCACATAATATATTATATATATCATATATATGATATATTTTATACACACACACATATATCCTTGGCCTTGTGAATTTCCTGTCACCTCTTTTTCATTTCCACCTGTGAACATTTTCACCAGAGGACTTCCAGATTTGAAAAAACAAGCATAAAGGACATAACGAGTTTGAATGTGTGTGAGAGTATGTGAGTGTGAGTATGTGTGTGTGTTGTGTGTGTATGTTTGGAGATTTAGTAGTTCAACTACAGGTACCACCCACTCTTTTCCAGTTTTCCCAAACTCAGCCCTGCATTCTCCTATGAAGTCCCATTTATCTAAGACCCTCCCCTAAAAAGAAAATAATACAGTAACATGGGAATCTCCCTATGATACATCCCTTTTGGGTCTTTCTCACTTTCCCTTTTCTTTGAACTTGTCTGCAATAAATTCTACTTCTGTATAGTGACACAGTGAAATATCAGATTTTAACCTAACCAAAGAAGGGTCATTTTGAGGTTTGAGCCCCAACAGGCCTATAACTCACTTTAATATTTAATAATATTAATATAATAGTAATAAAACAAAAAATTAGCCTTTCTATTGCCTAGGATAATCCAGTTAAATTCCCAGATCTTTGTCAACAGCAGTCAGGCTTGAATAAAAACAATAACAGCATTCAGTAGATTCAAATGAGAATCCTATCAGTGTCACTGGTTTTACACTATTCCTGTTTAATTTCGTATGTTACAATACAGTGACCATTGTGGTCAAAGAAAGCAAATGTAAAAATGTTTCAATAAACTTTAAATCACTGTACAACCCAAGGCTGGGTTTAATGTGGTGGGGAATGCTTTCAGCAACATCATAAAGCAGATGTCTAAAATGGTTGCAAACTGAAACTTGGCTTACAGTCCAAAATCTTAATGAAGATTTAATGTTTCAGAAACCTTTTCCAAACAAAAAAGGGACTCTGACTATCCTGATTATTTTGAAGAGGCCACTAATTTTTGCTTGAATATTAAAAGAACAAAATGTTTATTGAGTACTAAAATTTTATTGGCTAGCCTTACACTGAAGCAATCTACTTTCATAAATACTAACAATTATTACTGTTTCATCTTACCTTTATATTATTATTGCCAGGACATAATTGAGCAGTTGATTAAAAATGCCAAGAAAACATTATTGGCAATTTTCTCTTGGGGGATGGAGGTAAGTGGGTAACTTAACATGTGCTATTATTGCATTGCTAGTGTTGGTCTTAGGCCAGTACCATCTAACTTCTTGCATATGGCGCTGGATGCTGAGTGTGTTTAAGTGAGACGTCTCTGCCTTGACATCCCACTGTGTCAGGACTGGTGACCAGGTTTTATCCATCTTTTTATGAAACACCCACTCAATCATCCTGCCTAAAACTTCACTTTGTTCCAAACTCATTTTCTATCATCTTTGAGGGTGTTCCAATGCTCACCTAATTCAGCTTAAACTACTAAAACAACAATGGAACTTGGAAGATAATTAGTCCATAATGAAGTCTAATTGAGTTTTTCAATTTTGTACTTTTTTTTCATTCACAATGGATCAGAAGCATTTCCCTACATAATGGGTCTCATTCTAAGATCTTAATTACATTTGGGACTTCAGGGCCTTGTAAGACAACTGCCATCTTCCCACAAAATATTATGTATAAAACATCATGCAATATGGACACCTTTTGGAGAGGCTAACATCCTGTGTCTCTTGTAACAGATTGGACATAAATGAACATCCTTTTCCTTCTTTCTTGTAAAAATAGTATGTGTTTAATAACTTTCATGAATGTTTTCAAAATGACTACTATGCCATGATGGCTTAAAGAAATGTGGCTTTTTAAAATATATTAAGTGTAGCTTTGGAAAGCATTGTAAAATTAAATACCCATCTACATATTAATAAGCAATTCATCAACATCTTAATAAGCCATAACTCTATCAATAAAAATAAAAATAAAAAATTAAGATCATTAATGTTGCAATTGGATTGTACATTTCATTAGTGAGCCTATGATTAAACAAGCTTCATTAACATTATCTAATTCTTCTTCACTAAAGCCATTGAAGGCAATTAACTACAGCTCATGCCTAGTGAAGGAACCATGACCTAGTAATAATAAAAGATTTTCTAGTGGCATGAGGAGCAACAGCCAAGTTTTGAACATATCTTTCCATTTTCAGTAGAGTTTTACTGTTAGATCTTGTCATTCAATACAGTATCTGCAAACAACACTTCTCCAATGATACTATGGTACATTCAAGGAAGGCCTTTCACATGCAGATTATCCTGGCAAATTACACAACTGACATTTGTCATATGACATGAAATATCAGCCTTGATATTTTATGACATAAAATATCAGGCAATGGTAGGTGAGTGCAGTTTCTATTTTTCTAGGAATACTAACTTTGAATACAGATGTGTTACCACTGTGGCAAACACAGGGCTAAGGCCTTTACTGTTTATTATCTCAACTAGGTAAGTTAAAGCATTATCCTCTTACAGATGAAGAAACAGATTTGTAGGGCATTAATTTGCCAAAGATTACAGAGCTAGGGAGGTGCAAAGTCAGGTATTGAATGTAGGTTTCCCTTGGTCACTACAAATGCATATGATATTTAAGAAGAAAACAAATTCAAAAATGTTTGCATCTCAGATTTTATCTGAATTTATTCTCTCATTGTTGCAAATTTATCCTGTAGACATCAGGACTTCACTATCTTGGCTAAAATAAAGTATGAACCATCCTATGAGAGTGTCCCAGTTTGATCATCAGCAGCAGCTTTACGTTTTTTAGTTATCTCTAGAAAAAGGGTCTTTTTGGTAACCGTACATTCAACAAGGCAGGTCCATAGTTTTCATGCAGCCATTTGCATTCATTTTCTGGTGGTGACTCATTTCCAGGAACAAAATATCTCCTCTGGAATCACCCACCATAAAGTTGTGAGTTCATCATGGTGAGTAGTTTTGATCTTGTTGAATTTTGTTAGGCATGGCCTTTTTGAGTCATCTATTCCATTTCTGCATCATGGGTTGGTATTATTTTCCACACCAATAACATGAAGTCAAGTCAGTCATAGTTCAGCCAACCAAGAAACCTTGTTTCGAACAATACGTATCTTTCACTTGAATGATGCAATGCAGCACTGGCATTGAGTTAAGGTTCTAAAGTGAATTGCTTCTCAACTCAATTCCTTCCTCCTCACTGTATTCACACCTTTGTCATGTACCTTTACAAGCCCTCTCATTCTCACCTGGGGTGGAACCAGGGAACTTGCTTTGGAGGCTTGAAATGCATGTGTGCAATTGGGCCTGCCCTCATACCTTTACCTCTATAATCCCTAAGAGAATAGATGGAGCTGGATAGCGGGAGGATGAGACAGAAAGCAGCAGGTGAACTGTCCCAGTTATTAGACTGCCATGCGAAGCAGCCATGATCAATAGTCCCTCAAGACACATGAGCAACAAGCATTTATTATGATATTCTACTTAGGTTATTCAGTAAGAACCAAGTGATAAAAGTCCCCTCAGGTCAAGCCAAGACTATCTGCTTCTGAAATTCCCATGATAATCTGATTCAAGAAATATGGGGAGATATATAACCATATAATGTTTTATATGCCATCAAGTAGCCCACAGGATCCCCACTCCCTAATATTCATGACAGGATCCATGATCCACTTCAAAGCTACAGAATATGGCCAAGGGCAATGGTCTGTCACCTTTATTACTCCTGCAATTATATTACATTACATAGCAAAAGTGAAGGGAGTTAGTAGATACAATTAAGGCCCCTAATCAGTCGACTTTGAGCTAATCAAAAGGCAGGTTATTTTGGGTGGGTCTGACCATCAGGTGAGCCCTTTAAACTGAGTTTAGAAGTAACAGACTTGAAGTGACAGACTCTCCCTTGCTGGCTTGAAAAAGCAAGCTGCCATGAATACATAAGAAAACAAAGTTTGCCAACAAACTAAGGAACCTAGGAAAGGAACTCATTCTTAGTTGAGTTGCTAGACAAAAATGCAATTCAGACAACACTTTGATTTCTACCCCACAAAACCCTAAGAGGAGGAACCAGCTCAAATGTGCCTTGATTGCTGACCCACAGAAACTGAAATAATAAATGGTATTGTTTTAAGCTGCTAAGTTTTGATAAATTTATTTCACAGCAGTAGAAAACTGATATTGTTTTTTTTTTTCCTTGAACCAAGCAAAAGTGATTTAAGAGAAATATAATGTTCCACACAGGGGCCAGGAATCACCTTTTGGTATAAAATGACTCCAAATGTTTTTGTTTTCTGGTTGTACTATTCACTCTCCGTCTACCATCTTTTGAATTTCATCTTCATTATGTTGATATGATATCTGGTTTACTTTACCTAATACACTAGTAATGTTGGCCACACAGCATAGGGAAAATAATTCTTTTAAAGAAAAATATATTAATTCTACTTCCTTCTTTTTGTTGTTTTTCCGTCCACATGATATAGCAGTTAATGTGTTACAGTCTCCATATTAGTTAAGTTAGGTCTCAGATTTATTATGTAATTATGTAGATGTTACATGTTTACCTTGCTTTAAATCAGATTTCTTCTGTTAAATTCATGGTATATATGTCCAAGATCAGGGAAATATAAGCTCATACAGCAGGGAAAATGCATTTAAAAATCATATGTCACCTCTATGAAGGGCAATTTGGCAATGTCAACCAAAATTAAAATGCAAATAAATTTTTCCTAGCAATTGCACCTCAAGAGATTATACTAAACATAGAATCCCCCATGTGTGAAAGAGAAATATTCACGAATATTCATTGAGGCAATGTTTTTAAGGTCAAAATATTGGAAACAAGGTAAAGTAATCATCAATAGAACATGGGATAAATTAGCATGTCTTTATGATAGGAGACTACACTGCCTCAAAAATTAATGAAGAAATTGTTTATTTGTGCAGAAATAGAAAGATCTTTCAGACAATAATATTTAGTTAAAAAAAAAAAACACCAAGGCAGAGTACTGTGCATTGTCTGCACATCCACAAAGGGAATTTAGAGAATTAGTACTTCTTCATGATTTGCAGCAGTGTATATATACCTGGAGATTAGGAATGATATTTTTTAGAATTCAAAATCTTGGAAGTAGAATAAAATGATGTTGAACTGTTGCCACTGTAGTGCTTCTCAGACTTGCCTCAAAAAACACTTCAAATATCTGAGGGCAGAAAGATGTTTCCAGGGAAATGGCAAGAGTCAAAGAAGTAATTCTGGAAGTACTATTTCTGACTCAGTGCAACACTATGAATGTCTAGTTGCTATCTCTGCTTCTAGTTCTGCCTTGTTCCACTGCACTCTCCACAGTGCTCCTGGGTCAGTTTCTAATTGTACACCTGAAAAACTCCCAAGCACACAGAGGAAAACAAAACCATGGTGCAGCCTGGATAGTCCTCTGTAATAGAGCTCTTGCCTGTGAGTTAGGATTCAGTGACTGATGACTGATAACATGTGCTTTCTGGAGCAGACTGATATGGATTTGAGTTCTGGCTCTAGTTCTCACTCTTCATTTTCACTTTCTCACCAAAATCCCCAGTGAGCTTTAACCAGGTAAGGTCTCCCAGCAGGGTGCCCAAACTTTATGTCTTTCCAGATTCACTTCTGATGACTCTGCTCTCTGCCATACCCTTAGCTAGCTTCTGGGGAGTCACCGACTCCCCCAAGAATTCTTTTAACTATAACTTCCCCCAAGACTTTCTTGTCTCACATATCACTTCTTCCTCTCTATTGCTTACCTACTTCCAGCTTGCCAAAGCTGTTGTTCACGTGACATTTCATGACTTTCCCCCTTCCACTCAAAGCTTACACATTCTTGGAAAATGACAAGATTTTAATTAAAGTGTCCAAGGCAGAACAACTAGGGGGAGGAAGGTGAGAGAGTAGGGGAAAGGAAACTGGGAAAAGTGGCTTCTGGGATGTAGGGGGAGCCACTGGTTGGCACGGGCATTTACATTTGAGTTACTTACAAGCTGGGATCTTTTTGCATCACTCCTTTAATTAATTCTAAACCTAATTTCTATTTTAAGCATCATGTGCCTCAGAACTACTTGTGCTAGCAAAGAACAGTAAAGAGAGAAAAGATTTATATGATAAAAGCACATTAAGTTGATATGGATTTACTCAAAACATCTCTCTGTTAAAAAGTGACTGCTATTCTATTCTATTCTACTTTGATGTGTTGTATTTTTCATTGCTGCGGAAGTTTCAAACTTGCTCCCCTGAAAAGCCACTTCTTCTGGTCATTTACCATTTCCTGAATTGGACATAAATTATTGTTGGGTATAGGAGTGCTTCCTCTATTTCATCTGAATGGTTACTGCAATTTGAAAACTCCAAACTGTCCATGATGCCAAATATCACACAGGCCTCCACAAGAGTTGGGCCTCCTTGTGTTGCTGGTAAGGTGAGAAATTCTTCCCAGGTGGGGCTGGTTAGTAACATTTGAAGTGATGGCACCAAATTACCTCTGTAGATGACCAGATATTTAGTGCTATTCATTTTATTAAATCCTTTCTTTTTTTAAATTGTGAAATAACACCCCAAATAAGTACATAAAATCAAATGTATGGTTTAATGACTAAAGCATGTAATTACCACTCAGAAATTGCCATTAACCCCATGAACCACCATATACTTATTCCCAGAAATGCCATTCTCCCTCTCATACAACAGGTAACCATCATCCTGGTTAAGTATAGTTTTAACACCTATGAATGCATCTTTAAGCAAACCAGTTTATTTGGATCTTAAGTTACGATTGATAAAATGAACTCACACTGCATATATTCTTTTGTTTCCTGCTTCTTTCCTATAACAATATGTTTGTGAGATTCATCCATGTGGTTTGCTGGAGGTCATTAATTTTCATCGATATTTGGCCAACTATTTTTACTAGTGCAGTATAATTGAGTGCAATCACGTTCTTGGTCAGGAAAGACAAGCCAATAAATATTGTGCATTCTTTCCTTCATTGTCTTCCTTTGATGTTGAATTTCAGAATGCAATCCATCTGAAGACAGCCACAAAATAGAGAAGGAAATAGGCCATGAGATACTCACTAACAACATTGGCTTGCCCGGTGAATATGGTGTACTGAAGCTCATAGGAGACCACACTGAATTCATCATCAGAGGTCCAGTGGACAGTAATTGTGTCATATGAAGCCGTGCAGAGCTCTTCTCTGATTGTGGGAGGGTTGGGAGCTGTGGGGGTCAAGAGTGCTCATCAGTAAAGAACCAAACACCACTGGGATACCATTTTGGAGATGCTTGACTTAAAACAAACCTTTAAAAAATAAGTCCACCAGGATTACTATACGTAACATGGAAAAACTCAATCCAAAAAATATTCGGTTGGCTGGTTACTGCTTTTACTTTTAATAAGTAATGTGTCAAGAGCCAGTCAGTATGGATTTATGTCAGGTTATCATGGAAATATGTTTAGGAGATTTAAGTAGACAATACCTGAACATGAAGCAAGACATGTTAAAAAGTAGAACAGTTGTAGTTTTATTTTTTTTGTGTGTGTTGGGCAAGGATTCAGCTGGCAATTTTTTTTTTTTTAGTAAATTGACCAGTGGTAAATATTTTAGGCTTTCTGGGTCAGACAATTGCTATTCCAACTACTCAACTCTGCTGTTGTGGCATGAAGCAGCTGTAAATAATTTGTAAACAAATGGGAATGACCAGATTCCAATAAAACTTTATTTACAAAAACAGGCAGGGGCTAGATTTGGCCTGTGACCCAAACTTTGGCAACCACCATCTACATGGTGCCAGATAGTTTTATATTTAGGCATCCGACAGGAAAAATGCTGATTTTTTTCCTTTTAGAACTGGGGATTGAACTCAGGGGCACTCAACCACTGAGCCGCATACCCAGCCCTATTTTATATTTTATTTAGAGACAGGGTCTCACTGAATTGCCTAGCACCTTGCTTTTTGCTGAGACTGGCTTTGAACTTGCGATCCTCCTGCCTCAGCCTCTAGAACCACTGGGATTATAGGTGTGAGCCACCATTTATCATTCCTTAACAAATCAGACTAAAATAATTATATGTACATTTTCTTTTATAAGATATCTTTATGTCTTATTTTTTTTTAAATATTGGTACAGATGTATTTTCATTTCTCAATTTATGGGTGATATTTCAAATGCAGAAGACCATAATTAACAATCAATTGTACCTAAGAATATATATTTTCTTTCATAAGGAAAATGATTCCTTGGCATTTGGTTAACTTTATCACTGGGAAGGCCACTGCTTTATTTCTTTAACACATTCTCGAGGAGAGAAGTCTAAATCCTACCCAAACTGTGATTTTTAAATGACTTCCACTAGATTGATTTCAGTAACTGGTTTTATGAGAAGAGTATGTGAGTAAGAAAAAGACTAGGCAATGAGTGTTTTGAATTGGCCATAATATTTTAGAGAGGGGGTTGGCAAACTATGGCTGTCGGCCAAATTTGGCCCACTGCCTGTTTTTGTAAATAAAGTTTTATTGGAACACAGCCAGGCTTATTCAGTCATGTATTGGCTGTGGCTGCGTTCCCACAACAGCAAAGTTGAGTAGTTGTGACCATGTGGCCTGCAAGCCTAATACATCCACCATCTGGCCCATTACAACCAAAGTTAACTGGCCTTTGCTTTAGAGAATTGTCCAGGGCCCTTATTTCTGCTCTTCTGTGTACCAGAACCTGGCTTCAAATAGACAAACATGTGCTCATTCCATAGATCAGGAGCAACCTTTGCTTACACTGTTGCAGGGTTCTTCCTGCTCTAAATTCTGATTAGAATTAATGAGTCCTAAACAAATCCAAAGAGTGGAGAAAATTAATGGAAATGGCAAATTTGAAGTTTGTTTCAGTAGTCTTCACTTTGCACCTGAAATATATCCAGGACAAATGTCATGAGAAGCAAGGCTGGTGTATTAAGTCAATTACATTAGCTTTGCCTGGTGGCTATTGAATTCCACAAACATCACTGAGCATCTACAATGTGGCAGGCACTGCATTAGGTTGTGTGGTAAGATAAGAGGGCTCTACATAACCCTTAGAACATTCTTTCTAACACATATATTTGTACACCTGTCTCCTGAAGTATCCACATGTAAAATTTAGCATCATGGGGTGGAACTTGGATGTTCATGAATCAACCACACCAACCATGAGATGCATTCCCTGTAGGCCCAGCTGCATCGTAAAATTATCATCTGTGTGGTCCTGTTCATGTGGGATCACCCCTACTTGGATCAGTGAAGAAATACATATTCTTTCATAATTTAAACAGTTTGTTAAATTACTTCTCCATCAACCATTGTACAAAGATTCTGTTCTTTCCATATTGTAATATGTGATTAAATATAAAGAAAATGTTAGTTCAAAATAGGCAAGTAGCTGTGAGACACATGGCAGTAGCCGCAATCAGGAAGGAAATGTCACCTCTACGGGTTATTAACTTGACATACCACTTAAAGGCATGTCATAGGGGAAAAAAATCTTGTTTTCACAGCCAGGCAGGCTAACCCTGTTTTGATTGTAAACCCAATGGGTTTGTCCTGAAAAGTCAATACCCAATTTACTGTAAATGAGAACAGCAGCATGCTGCCAATTTCAATACCCACAGAATCAGTACCAGAACTGTTATTTTCTTGCCTTCATCACAAACACCATGCAAGAAATGGCAGGCTAATACTCTACAAACACTTCACTTCCTGCTTATAAATGTCTGATAAACTATTTGGACTCGGCAATATCAGCCAAGCATCATATGTTATGACCAGGATTGATGTTATGTCTAGAAATAGACTGAATTTGTACTTGGGGTTGACAGCTCTGAAGGCATAATACCAGGTACCCAGCATGGCCTTTGGTTTGGCATAAACAGTTATTGGCATGATATATGGTGTGCATGTTACAATTCAATGAAGATTCCACTCAGTTTCCCCTTTAATCAATACTTTTGCCTGACTAGTAGAAATTAAAATGGACATACAGTGTTGAAATATTATTAATTATTGGGAAAGGAGCAGGACACATTTGTCAATGGGACCCTGATCTGGGGCAACATACCCATGTGCCCAGGCAAATATTTAACTTTTCAGTCTTCTCTGACTTTGATGAACTTGTAACATGGATCTGGCCCAGGAGACATAGTTTGCTAGGTGAGTCTTTTGAGCAAGATTCTTGTTTTTCTGACAAAGACAAACTTGACTGGCAGAGCTTTTTGTCCATCATTCCCCTAAGGATACTGTCTTTTTGCTTAGAACTTCAACATATTGATTGGAGGGGGTCACATTATAGTCATGTGGCAAAAAAAACAACAAAAAACAAAAAACAACAAAATGGAGACCCCAGAGCCAGAAACCAGAAAAAGTCTGGTGTCTGAAGTCATCAGCAAGCCACTTCCCAATCCTGGACTGTATGCCTCTATTCTGTTTCTCTCATACAAGCACTCATTGATGGGTTTAGAAACTGCCAGCTGGGTTTTCTGTTGCATGAGACCAAACTCATTCCTAAATGATAAGAGAAAAGGGGTGTTTTGACCAGAATGCCATAATGAAAGCAGTTCAGTAGCCACAAGCTACACGGGGCTGCATTAATTCTAATTGAATTTAAATAAAAAGTTAATAAAAGTAACAATTTTCTAGGTACATTTCAAATTTTCAATAGTCCCATGTGCCTAATGTCTAATATTTTGGATAGTGCAGATATAGAACATTTCTACCATTGTTCTATTGGTGGGGGGTGTTAGTTTCAATAAATCACAGAATTAAAACTAAAAAATGGAGGGTACTATATTCATAAATATTTTAAACCAAGTGTGGTCCCTTACTGCAAATGTTTTTTGAGTTGATTTCTTTCTTCCTTCACACGAATGGTAAGTTTGAAAGAGAATTATATAAAATAAGAGGATACTTGTGGGATGACTTGCCTTCCTTGCAAATGCAGAATAAAGCTAAAAACAGCACGTTGAGTTTTCACAAGGAAAAACTGATTTTCCAGGTATAATGCTCCTTGAATATAGACTCCTAGCTTTACTACCCACAGACTATAAAAATAAACACTACACAACGTCCCCTCTCTCCTGCTCTATCTTTCTAGACCACTTTCCCACAAACATGTACACACAGGACTGGAGTTAAGAAACTGACACCAGGCTCAGTTAGGGATGTGGTTTCTGGAAGGCCACATGTCCTAAGTGCAGTACACATCTGGCTTAACTGTGTACCTTGTGCTTTCCTGAAGGCACAGGCCCTGGTGGCTTTGGCTAACACAAATACTGTTGTCTGAAGAGTCCATATTGTTTTTACCAGTGTTCTCTTAGTTTCTGCTTTAGAGGACAACAGCAAAGAAAAGATTAGATGCACTGCTAAGAATAGGAAAAGCCCTAGTTTTCTTCTTCTATTGTTGTTTTCTAAGCTTGACCAAAAATTTGCCATGGTAAATTTGCCAAAATAAAATTTGGTCTTTTTTTTTTGGGGGGGTCTTTTCTTTATCAGTGCTGGGGATTGAACCCAGGGCTTCATGCATGTGAGACAAAAGCTTTAACACTAATCTACATCCCAGTCCCTGAAATTCATTCAGTATTTTACTAGAAAGAGAAAAGGTCTTAGGCATCTGTACAGACCTGAGCCAAATTCTAATTTTGCTACTCCCTCCCTATCAGATCTCCAGCAAGATGGCTGACTATCATCATGTCCAAAAGAAGGATTATAACATTTTACATAAATTCAACATTGTGAAGGTGGCAAATACAGAGAGCTGGAGCAGGGTGGATACCTAATTAGTTATTTACTATTTTTCTCACTGCTAACATCCTGGGAGAGTCAAATGCTTTCCTAACATGAAATGAAATATACTTATAAAACTTATGTAATACTTATGCCTTTTTTTTTTTTTTTTTTTTTTTTAATATTTATTTATTTTTTTAGTTTTCAGTGGACACAACATCCTTGTTTGTATGTGGTGCTGAGGATCGAACCTGGGCCGCACGCATGCCAGGCGAGCGTGCTACCGCTTGAGCCACATCCCCAGCCCAATACTTATGTCTTTTTGATGGTCATTAGACATATTTATTTTAACACCCCCACATTGAGAGGGAAATAGTAGTAAGTATGCTTTTAATGATCGAGATTCTCTTTTCTCTCCTGTCCTCAACTAAGTCTTGGGCTCTGTTGTTTTGGTTATGAAAAAGAGTGCACAGAAATTGTTCCTGGAAACAGTATTCCTACCTCAAAAGCACACAACTCTGGTTTTCAGGAATCACTGATCTTGTGGCAAAGTGTATCACTGAAAGTAACAATATTAAACAGAACACAAAAGATAATACCTGTAAGGTAATCCAGACATTCCAGCAATTTCTTCTCTCGGGAAAAATCTAAGGCAAAGGTGTCAAATGTGTCATTGAGGTTGATTTCAGGAATTAGGACCTGAGAGGATGCAGTTGCCATGGAGACTCTGTAATTTAAACAAAACAACTTTTTAGAGATGTCAAGATGGTTTTCACCATCACTGTGGAGGCATTTAAAAAAAAAATAAAAGGAAAAGAAATACGATTCTTTTGAAAGTGCCTTCAGAAGAATCTAGATGGCACAACACAGGAACACAAAGAAATTGAATGCAAGCTTTAAAAAAAAAAAAGCAAAGGAATTGGGAAAAACAACAGACTGCCTTCCACCTCTTCCTTTTTACTATCGGAAAAAAAAGTCCCTGTGGAGGTGAAAGAATATTCATATTTCATGTTGCTGTATATTTAACAGCCTGGCCCCATCACATTGAACCAAGCAAGAAGCACATTGCTTCAGGCAGTTCTTCACACATCTGTCTGGGAAGCTGTTTGTTCCTTTCAGGCGCGCCCCTGCTCTACTTCAAAGGGGAGTCTCCAAAATTTCAAACTGCATAAAAGGCAAAGTGAAGATTAAAAAAGAATGTTTCCAGATATTGGATTAGTTTAATCAATTACTAGCCTCTCTCTAAAATAAACATTAAAAAAAGTTTTCGTCTGGCTCGTTTTCATTCTCCTTGTATTCATTTTTTTTGCACCATATTCCCAGCAGATGCCATGGAAAATATTCATAAGCTTTCTCACAAATTCCCCCTGTGGAGGCACTGTTTCTCCTTCTCACTTAGGCTTTCTGGTTAGTTCTCTTGTAAGAACTATAAAGCAAGGAAGGAATTGCTATGTATCAGTCACCTATGTGTCCTGAAATTGATTTGGAAAGTTCAGATATTAAGAGCAGAACATTTTACCTGGTTCAAAATGCAAGGGATTCCCTTAAAACCAAGAAAACTTTGGCCTGAAGTATACTACCTCTGAGTGATCAAACTATGCTGGACTTGTGATTTTTCTGAGTTGGTCATTTTGTTAAATTCTGTCAACATTAGGGCACTGGGAGTTTTTGTGCAAAGAAATGACTTTAAAATGATTTAGCTCTTAATATAGTTACTTATTTTCAAATAAATATCACTGATGCTCATTTATACAAGGCCACAAAGCTGGTGACACCCAGGAGAAGTTTGAGTCTGTATTCTTCCATTTAATCTAGAAATTTTTCAACCCAGTTACCTTCCAAGGGTTATATATTGTCTCGAGGAATACTATTTAGTCTTAAAAAGGAATGAAACACTGACATATATACATCATGGATGAACCTTGAAAACACTGTGCTTAAAAAAGCTAGACACAAAAGATCACATACTGTATGATCTATATGCATGAAATGTCCAGAATAGGCAGATCATTAAATTATATACTTTACAAAGGTTAATTTGCAAAATGTGAATTTTACCTCGATAAAAACAGAATACACTTGTGAAATGCTCAATATTCTTGGAAATACAGTTTCTACAGTTGCATTTCTGGCACATTTTCAGTGTTAAATAGGGAGGGAAGAGGTTAATCAGTAATGTCATAATTGGAATGCTATCGGAATCCATAGATAAACTAATGCTAAAGAGAAATAAACACTGGGAAGTTTTAAGTATATGAATGAGGGTGGAGAACCTAACTTTACCTCCTGATGGGGGTTACAAAAAGTAGTGAATAGAAGGGCTGTATGATTTTGCTGACTAAATATTGCACCTAAGTGAATTACGCTAATTATTGACACCAACAGCTGTTAATTTAGACTGATGTGTATGGGGCTGCTGCTAGTCAAACTACTTTCAACAAATAGTCAACAATCATTTATAATGCCATTAAAGTATCTCACATACTGAAAAGTCCAAGCCATTTGCATCAATACAGAAAAGTCAAAAGATCTGTTATTAGTACTCGCCCCCCCTCAAAAAAAATTTCAAGGGAAAAGCTCTAGTTTATCCTGTTTTATAAACTCTAATAGGGAAAACTGCACTAAGCTATTAGGAAACAAGCACTGAACTTCTGATTGCACTGCTTTGCTGCTTGATGTGGCAGTTTGTGCTAAACAGGTTCGAGATTGCTCTGAACACAGATAACCTGGCTTTGAGATTTCTCTGCTCAATGGCTGAAGCCACTTGTTCAGGCTCATCCCAAATAGACTTTGTTCCCAAGTTTCTCCTGGTCCTATGGCCAACAAACAATTAAATAAAGCATGTTTTTGTCAAATGACATGTTTAAAACAGCTGCCATCTTGATGGTGGGAACCAAAAGAATTAAAGTGCCTAGCCTGGGAGGCAAAGACTGACAACAAGAATCTTTGGAGATTACTGCAGCTTTTAACACCTACATTTTTTTTCCTTGATGGAAGAAGGAAAGATATTTATCTTTGGCAACAATTTCAATTTTTTAATTGGAATGACAGTCAAAGAGGAAATCTGCCAAATGCAATATTGTAGGTCATGTTTTTATTTCTCAAATCCTTAATACCCATCTTCTGGCCTTTTAGATAAATTGCCAATATCCGCCAAGGGCACTCAGGCTGTGCCACTTCCTCAGTTCTTTAAAGTCCTTAAATTCCTAGTGCACGTGTGTGCACATGTGCGTGCACATACACACACACACACACATGTAGGGGTGTGTGTTAAACTCTTCTTAACATATTGGAGCAAAGACCTTGTGTCCCATCATGATGCATAGAAGGTGAGTTGCACATTACTCCCTGTTTCTATTTCTGCTTTGATGTCCCTAATCCATGACACTTAGTTATTAGTGACTACATGGGGCCAGTTTTCCAAAAGGTCTATGTGTCTAGAGCTATACTGTTCACAGGGCTTCTGCCTAACAATGCACATCATCATGGTAAAACCCAGTGAGGTCTCACAGCAAGACAATGTGTTCTACTTTGGTTAGTTTAGGAATTCCCAAACACATTTGGCCCTGTAACTTTCCTATTGTCATAACCTCTCAACATCTTGCAACTACACTTCAAATCCAATGCACAAAATATGCTCTAATTTTTAAAACGAAGCAATGTCTTTCCAGAGTTGACAAATGGTGTCCATAGCTTTATATTCTGGAAAAGTCTGACAAATTTTTGAACTGCCTGTGGCAGATCACCTTGTGCTAGAGAACCTCTTAAGTGTTCTGAAAAATGGATTCCTTTCAGAGAGAATTTTCATTTCACCATCCTTTTGATACACATAATTTGTGATTTTAATTTTAGATTCTTTATAAATGGTAAATCAGCTTTCTTATGCTTGGATTTACCAAACAGTTTTGCTCATTTAGTATGTTAAAAGATGTCTATAAAATCACATCAAAGACATATATATTAATGAATCTATATGTATTAATGAATGTATAACATACTATAGTATATTGTACATTCTATTTGCATTCATCTAGTGAGTGGGAGGAAGGGAATTAGTATTTATTGCATGTTCACTTTGTAACAGGAACTGGACTAATGCTTTTACCATGTTATTTCATTTTATCCTTACAACAACTGGCCCTGTTTACACATCATTCTTTCATTCACTCGTTCATTCACATGGGGAAGTTTGCAATGTGCTGGGGTTATAATAGCCATAATAAGCTCACTAGGATTCCTGCCCACTTGGAACATATAAACAAAATTAGACTCAGAAGTGTTAATGAGCAGTTCCACTGCTATCCATAATTACTAAGCAATTAGCACAGTGCCAAACAGTTAATTCCAAAGCATATGCATCTCCTACAATGTAAAGCTTAAGTGTCTCTCTCTCTCTGTCTGTTTCTGAATTTTAGCCTATAGGAGAACATCTACTTTAACTGAAGTAATGAGGTTGAAAAACCTCATATAAGTCTCATTTTAAGAATGCCTGCAGGATTTGAAGTTTCTTCTGGGTGCCATACTTGAAGAATGAAGATGATTTGGAAGTATACAGGAGCCAAAACCCAAGATAGACACAATAGGAGACAAAACTAGGAAGTCATGTTGTAAAGAGGCATGTTAATCAGCAGGCTGAAGAACAGAGGCAGCTAGACAGAAAGCAGCATCGGAATAAAGACATAACAGGAGGGCTCAGCTGACATCAAAATATGAAAATATACATCCAGCTAGCATTGATGTAGTGTCTATGATGCTTAAGGCCTGTTCTGAAGGGATTTCAACAATGTTATCACAATAGAGATAACTAGTATGAACCATTTTCTAACTACAAAAGAGCTCCAAAGAACCACATTTAAATAGGGGCAGTAATGGGAGATTTGAACTCAGTACTCCCCACTTCTTATCCAAGCCTAGTGCCCCTTTACTACATCACAGTTGCTTCAAAGAAAAAGCCTCATAAATGAACCAAGGAGGTTGATAAATGAGAGATGGGAAGACAGGAGACTACAGAAATAGGGACAAGGGCTTCCAGCAGATTTTTATAGGCACTGTGGACTCAAACTCTAGAGAAGCATACTCTTTATGGAAAAAGAAATTCAAGTCATGTTTCCATTTCTGATAAGTTGGGCTTGTTTACAATGGAGCTGAATGAGACCAGACATGTCTCATCAGAATGGAAGGCATTCATGCACCCATTCATGTGCTTATGCTATGCTTCAAATGCAGGCCTTCTTTTAGCATTACTCTTAGAGGGTCAATTCTCACCCAACTGCTGGTGAGAATTTATTCATGTTTCACATGGTTGAATTTGGAGGGATTGCCGAGGAATGCAGCTCAGAGTAGCCATGTTATCTGGACATGTCCCTGGTAGAGAAATGGTCTTTTGGATCCCAGTTGGGAATCTTGACCTAAGTATAAATGCTATCTATATTATGGTGTTCCGGGTACACTGGAATATTAAAGCTGTTTAAAGTTTTTAACTTTAGGAAGAAGGATGAGCAATTAATTGGATGTGGTCCAGATGACAGCAGTGCAAACAATTAAACATTTGGAACCTGGGAGTCGGAAGGAAAGAAACTGGGCTCTCACAGTGGGGAGGACAGAAAATGGATAATAGCCAGCTGTTATCCATGTTCTTTAGAAGAGATACATATCTAACCAGCTGCAAAAAGAATTCTTCTCAAATATAAGAAATAACACAGTTAAGCTAGTAGACCAGAGTTGCAAAAATACTGTTCACTGATCTTAAAGAACAATGAAAATGGAATTGTCAATGCTTACCTCTAGATGATATTTTGAGAATCGGCACAATGCTCAACACATGCAAGCACTTAATACATGTTAGCTTTCTTTCTACTTTGAAGAAATTCAAGTTATAAGAGGGTGAGTATGGGACTGGGTTTATAGCTCAGTTGGTACAGTGCTTGTCTAGCATGCACAAGGCACTGGGTGCAATTCCCAGAACAAAAAACAAAAAAAATGATGGTGAGCATGCCCCCTCACCAGCCATGGGCTGGCAAAACAGAACCTGTAACCTGTTTGGTAAATTGTTTTACTGACATACAGCCATGCCCATTTGTTTCCATATTACCTCTTGCTGTTGTGAAGTTATACTGGCAGGGTTTACTAGTTGTAACTTAGACCTTATAACCCACAAAGCCAAAAAATTCTTATTCTCTGATCCTTTACAGAAAAAGTTTGCCAATCCCTATTTTGGAATAAACACCAGCATGAACAAGCTCTCTGGGATATTTTAGTGATAGGATTCTATTATCATTTTGCATAAAGGGCAGTTACCTCTGAAAATGAGAATGAATGAAAAGTCAAGGCCATTTCATTGCTCAGAAATGTCATTACATGGTGTTAGTTTTACTCAATCCAGTCTAGATCATCTCTATGGATCCAATGGAATTACTAGAGGTGTTTGCTTGCCATCCATGGAGATGAGTAATTTTTATGACAATCAAGTAGGTGTAGGAAATGAATACTCAACCTTGCCAGTTTCACAGCTGAGCTGACCACTGAGTAAACATCACTTTATAGTTCCCTCCCCTGAAATAGAAAGTATTTTAAAAGAAGACAGGATGAGGTTGACTGATTGGCCCTCTTTCTTCCATATGAGTCAGCCTTGACCTTTTCAGGTGAGGCCAAGCTTCTGAACCAAGTAAAAACAGGCCTCACACAATGACACCTGTGTGATGTTTTTTCAGACAGATGCTGAAGAGTGCAACAGAAGATAAGATCCCCTTTTATGCTTCTGCCTTCATTTTGTTTCTTTGTTACCAAGTGCACAATGAGATAGGGACTAAGATTCACAAGAAATGCTATTCATGTGCCATCAAAAGCTCCCCCTCAAAAAAAGAGGTTGATTTTATTCTTTATAACTGGTGGACTCTTGTTTCAAAGTCCTTGAATACTGAAAGGGCTGACATGTCAAAGGGAAGCATCTTTGGCTGGAGTGAAAGAGCTTGAAACATCTATTGTCTCTGTTCCTCAACCTTGAAAAACAAAAGCACTGAGAGAGCAAGACCAGCCAATCACATCCCATATACAAGGGATCAGCAGCCCAAGAACCTCACACTGGACCCCTAAACTTACCTCTCAGTGATATTCTTAGCAGTCTGTAGGAAGCGGGCATGATCATTCTCCTTCAGAGAGTGTTCTGCTTGGGAGATGAGGGATGCTGACCGCTCAATGCACTGTTTGCAGTTTGCAATCTGCTGAGCCAGTTTGCGAAGCCTCATCACCTTGAACAAAAGAGACAAGGACACATATGGTTACATGGTAAGCGCTTCCAGTGAAAAGGCACCAGACTGGACCATTGTGATGTGTGTGCTCTATAGTATGTAAGCCATCTTTCTATAAAAGTTCAAAAGTAAGCATAGAGATAGCAAAATCAGGTAAAGCCCAGTCATGGAACTCTTGTTAGAGATATACTTTCTCTTCTTGGAGAAGTGTTGCTAATTCATTTTATGAGGAAACACTGAATTGCTAATTGCTTCCCTGTTGATGGGAAAAAAAGGTGTTACCCACTGTCAAATTACAAAGGGTCATCAGATCTCTTCCCTCCACTATTCCACACAATTACTCCAAGAACATAGGGAACTCTGGAAGTTTATTTCAGGTTTTCTTCTGTTCCATTAAGAAAACAAAACAGCTCTATAGGTGCAAATTTGAGGCTTTAGCAAAAATCATTTTCTAGAAACTTCTTTGTAATTCATGTAATAAAATTGTGATATAAATGCATTAGGTATTACTATTTCCCACTCTACCTAAAACTCATGTATTAAATTAACAGAAAGGGAGCATTTTTCCCATTGATTAATATTTTTCCTGTTGAGCAGATGAGAGAACGCCAAAAAAAGCACAGCTGGGCCATTTCCCCTCGCTGGGAACGTCATTTCCAGGCACTTTGTGCTTACTTGATAACTAAGAACTATTTTGATAAGCATTTCCCAGTTGGGATAAAAATGCATATTTGCTTCACAACCTCCATTCCAATTCCCAATTCTGTCTTGCTTGAAAATGACTCTCAAACGTAATAGACCATAACCTCCCAGGCAGGCCAAGATAAGTCCAAGGTAACCCACTTGACCGTCACTCTGGTGCTTGAAATGTGCTGTGAGATGAAGCCCTCTGGCCAGAAGCCAAGTTAAAATTAGACCACTAATTGGAATTGCCGTGTGCCTAGTGCCCCCATCTACACACCCGGGGACAGATTTTGGCTGGCTTTATGATAATTCCGGAATGGAAAATAGCCTTGGGTGAAAGGGTAGGGAGGAGGCCGGTTAATCTGTCTTGCAGACAAGGCTGGCTCAGGCTCCCTCCAAATTCCTGCTAACTCCAAGAAATTTCTTCTTTCTCCAAGTCATCATTATCATCCCCGGACAACTCTAATCGAAGAAAAGGAAGGAAAGAGATGTCAGAACTCTAGGCCTCTAAGGAACATCCAATTCCAAGTATGGACTACAGCAAACAAAGGAAATTCATGCTGAATTGAGAGGCACCAGGCACAAGATATCAGGGTGAGAAAAATTCCTGAAAGTAAAGAGTCAAAGATTGAAATGTCAAAACTTTGGGGCAAATACTATGTGATCTTGAGCCTGGTAAAAGACATAACATCATGATTGTTGTTACTGTCCCCAGAACATTATCTGTGTACCTGAGTTGAATAAAATGACACTTATTTTATACCAAATAGAATTTAGCTTTTGTCATCCTTATACCCACAGGCAAACCCAACAAGGCATCCACTCCAATTCAAATTATTGAACACACCTATTAGAAACTGACAGAGGCAAGAAAAATTCCATGAGGAAAAATAACTTACAGTGCCTAGAATAAACCAAGTGCATGGAATACTTAATTACACAACATAAAGAATAATTTAAATTACATGGCAAAATAGAAGATATTTGATACAATTCTAACAAAAGAAAACAAGGTTGAAATATTCCTGTAGAATAATTTCATGCCAATCATTTATCATTTGGATATGTCTGAGAAGATGACACAGATTACAAATGTGAATGACTGCACTCCAGTTTCATCATTTTCTTCTTCTATCATGATACCAGAAATTAAAAATAACAAAAGAAGAAGAGAAAGAAAAAGCCCCAAATCATGCATGGAAACAAAACAAAAATAAGAGCCTCCTATGAAAATACCAGAATGTTCTACAAAGAACGATTTGGGGCTAATCTTAGCTATACATTAGTGCACAATTCCATCTCATATGACGGACGATCAGAGCTTCTCAAGCACTGTGCAAAAGATGAGTTAGGGATCTTTTCCAAAGAAAAACTGTAGATGTTTGGGCAAATCCTCCAATATTTTAGTTAAGGAATTGTAATTGGCAGAGCGGCAGGAATTTGCATTTTAACAAACAGTGAAGGTTTATTAATAAGCAGGAGATGAATAAATAATATGGTCAGAACATTAAAAAATAAAATAGAAGAAAATAGCAGAGCATATTTCTGGTGGAAAAGGCAAGTTGCATTTTGTAAAACATGTCATGTGTGTTTTACACTTGATTGTGATACCATATGTATTTCTTATGTGGGTTACATTATAAAAATGAGAAATTAAAAACACTGCTCAAAGTTAGGTGTTCACAAATATGGTGTATGGACCAAATCCAGCATCAAGACTGTATAAATAAAGTTTTATTGGCACACTGTCACATTCTTTTGTGTAGGAATCATCTGTGGCTGCTTTCATGTTACAACATTGCCAGAAGTAAGTTGTGGCAACAGAGACTACATGGCAAAACCAAAAGTATTTATTAGCCCTTCACAGAAAAAGTTAACTAACTCCTAGCATAAATGATTCTAGTCAGATGGCCCTGACTCAAACCCATTCTGAAACCCTGTGCTACACGCTACAGCACTTAAAATTCTAACATAGAGCACTGAGCAAAATACTTAATTTTTCATTATACAATACTTTTAATATTTTAGAAATCTGACAACATGAATAAAATCTGGTAATTTAAAAGAAATGTTAGAGCATGACACATAAGAGTCTACATATGCAAGTATCAAAGCCAGGGGAGAAATTTTTCAGCTGACTCTATCCCTTTTGCCTTTAAAAAGTGAGATTGCCACATTGTAACTTTTGAATTTCACTCTATACTCATCATGGAAATATTCTATTAGAATCTCCTTGTAACCAGGCATAGGCCTATTGATATAATTCTATTTTTGGTTTATTATACCTTACATACTGTTTTAAAAGCAGACTTAATTTGCTTTAAATGCATTTTAAATTATTTTAATATGTGCTTTTGTACATTTGTAGTATACACACCCCCAAATAGCTATATGCAATCAGCAAGTCCTCTCAGTTAACAGGACTACCTGAATTGACCATGAGAACTGGACTTAGCACCGTTTTAAGGCCATAAACAATATGACCATTTAGTCCAAGTGAATTCTCTTAAATTATGGAGAATTCGAGTACATAAAGGCAGTGCAACGTGTTTGCACGTTGAAAGAACTCACTTCCTTGGGAGTTTGTTGTGTCTTGACAAAAAATTCACCCTTGACTGCAGAGTAGAAGCAGCAGCATCTTTCTCAGGGAGTCTCATGTGTAGCCTGCAGACTAAGCAGTCTACACCCCCATACAGGCTAGGGAGCTCTTCCAAGAGCATAAAGCAGCAGTATATACTGATGTGCTCCACTATCACCTGCTGGCAACTTCCTTCACCTGCCCATTTCCAAGTGCTTGTCAAAGGGCCCCACTGTCCCTGCTCCTGACTCAGTGACCAGACTGCCCTGCAACTGCCCTGGGCTGCAGGGACCCACCCCACAGAGGGCCCCAGGTCCACACATGGCCTCCCTCCCTGGCACCTCAGATTTCCAGGGTGTTGGCCTTCCCACCCTTCCTCTTGGAAACATGCTTGTGATGCAACATAATGTGACCAGGGACTCAGATCACTGTGCATCCCAGGCTTTGGAGTCAACTAATCCTTGCTCATGCATCAAAGTATTAACCCAAGGGAAAGCCAAACTGTGCCCTCCTCCTTTCCAGTAACATCTGCCACATAATACTGCCTGCTGAGATAATGTCTCCAAGCAAATGGACACTTCAAAAAGTGTACAATTTTAAACATACAGAAAAAATTTAAAGTAATATGATAAACTATCCCGAATGTACTACCAAATCTCAGTATTGTCATAATACCAGCATCAAAATTTTGAAGAGAAGGTAACATCATCAATGGCACTAATGCCCCTGTGTGGCCCTTTCTAACCTCATTCACATCTCTCCAAGAGAAAAGAGCTCCTGAATTCAGAGCTGCTCACCCAAGACGCTTGTGCTTAAACACATATAGGATTTGGGGGTTAGCTTATGAAATCTTATGTAACTCTCCCTATTGTATACAAATCATTATAAGATTTGTTTATGACTTTGTGATTTGTCAACAGTAATTCATATCACTGTAGTTCATTAATTTTAATTTCTGAAGACTTTCACTACATAATTAAAAATCTGTGTCTTATAAAGACAACTTTATTGAGATAACTGACACGACATTGCAAATTTGAAAATTTGAAAAATTTTCCAATATGTATATTCCCATGAAAGAGTATGCTGGTGCCTAAAAAATTCCATTACATTTTTGGAGGTTCCTAGTGCTATGAAGTTTTCCCTTTGACAGATAGGTGATTGTTCCGATGTTTTAATCTTTGATTTATGATTTCTTGTTTTAATGTTTGGTCTCAGAAGTCCTTCTTAACCTGAGAGTATATACATGGTTTCTATTAAACATAGTTAAAATAATGTCAATATTTTAGGTTTGGGAGACTACATAGTATCTCTATCACATATACATTTTTGGTTTTATTTTTGTAAACAACCTTTCAAAAATGGAGGAAACTCCATTTTTAGGAGTTAGGCAATGGGTTGTACTTAGCTGACACCTGTTTTTATTGGGGTGGGGGCTTCTTTAATTTTTATTCTGTTGTGCTTTTTCTAACTTGATTTGAGAGCTCATTCCTTTTAATATGTTTTATTTGTCTTTTGTAAAGAATCGAAGGCAATCACTTTGCATTCAAATAACTTTTGGCTGCTTATTGCTTATGACATACAGCCTGTCATTGCAGTACATTTCTGTGGTTGAACTGAGGGACTCATGCATGCCAGGCAAGTACTCTTCCACTGAACCACATCCCTAGCCCTCATTGTGGTGCATTTCTAAAGTTGTTTTGAAAATGTATTTATTAGTACATTATAAAGTTTCCAAACATTGTAAAAAACATTATTTTCACTGCTGACAGTATCTAATTCATTTCACTGCGTGGTCTTAGAGGAGGGGTTATATGGTGTTCAGTCTTGAACATTTGCTTCCCTTCCAACCAAGTATGAGACATTAAAAGAAAAAAAAAAGAGATACATCTCTAGCAACTTGGGGGGGGGGGCTGAGGCAGGAGGATTGCAATTTCAAGGTCAGCCTCAGAAATTTAAGAAGGCCCTAAGCAACTTAGTCAGTCTCTGTTCAAAATAAACACTAATGAAAAGGGATGGGGATGTGGCTCAGTGGTTGAGCATAGGAAGGAAGGGATGGTGGAAGGGAGGAAGGAAGGAAGGAAGGAAGTCAATGTCCAATGTGCTGGGCATGGTCATATATGCTTATAATCCCAGCAACTTCAGAGGCTGAAACAGGAGGATTGCTAAGGTTAAGGACAGCTTCAACAACTCAGACCCTCAGCAACCTAGTAAGAACCTGTCTCAAAATAAAACACAAAAAAGGTTGGTAATATATATAGCTCAGTGGTGAAGCACCCCTGGGTTCAATTCCCAATACTTCCCACCAAAAAAAAAGTCCCATGTGAAGTTTATATATTACATATATACTTTCCTAGTTTTTGAGTGGAAAAATCAATGGGCATCTGCCATGCTTTAATGCCACTCAGTCTCATTTATGCCTTCTGTATTTATGGGATTCCTCAGGTGGATGTCAAAACTCAGTTTCCAAATTTCTTTTAGAGCTTTTTTTTTTTAAATTCAAGTTTATTTTCAAAACATGTTTACTTTCAAAACTTCTAGTTTGCTGGCTTTGATTTTATTTTTTCTAATTTCATGGTTTCACTTTTTTCTTTGCTTTTTTCGCTTCTTTTATTTTTGTTTTCTTTTTCAGTTTTTCTTTGCTTTTTAAAAAGTTATTTCTTCATTTATCCCTTTCAAATATTTTAAAACTATATCTTTTAAAGTATTTTTGTATTCTTCCACATAACTAATTTCCTCTGGAATAAGATAATAAGATTACTGTATTTGCTTTGGAATTGGGTTTCAGTTTTGAATGGGAGAAGTCATGTATGATTCTTTGCTTTCTCGTTCTTCTTGATCAGGCTGCCCTATCTTGATAGTTTCACAGTTGCCCTCTCCCAGTCTACAGGACATTCAGGAGTCTTATCTCTTTGTTTCTGAGGTTCCTGCTTTGTGAGATATCAGAAAGAGCATGACACAGGCCCCAACCTAGCAACTGACTTGTCCCATAGTTCCAGACCTGAAGTTTGTTAAAAGCTATGACACTAGGCAGAGGTTGGCAATAATCTTTTTCAGTTCCTTTTAATGATCTGAGAAGCCTTCGAAAGCCAGTGAGTAGCATTAAGCAATGATTTCAGTCCCAGTCCTATCTGGGGCACTTCTAGATCCTTTCCCCCAAATCATCAAGAATGACTTAGTGGGGTTGGGGTTGTGGCTCAATGGTAGAATACTCACCTGGCACTTGTGAGGCACTGGGTTTGATTCTCAGTACCACATAAAAATAAATAAATGAAATAAAGGCATTGTATCTATCTACAACTAAAAAATTATTTAAAAAGTATGACTTAGCCATAAGGGTTAAAACTGTACCTGCTTCAGCCTTTTCCAGACCAAATGATGCTAGCCTGTGTTAGCCACAGTCAGGGCTTTGCACTATTTTTATCCCATTTCTGTCCCATGGAGATACTTGTCTTGTTTCAGTCCAGCTATCTCGCTTTGCTTTTCTATTTTATTATGTTCTCTACCAATGTCAAGGGGTTGGGGTAGGGAGAGTGCACCAAAGCAAGTGCCGGCACCATCATGGCTAAAACGGGGACATCCTTCACTACTGTGAGATAAACTGAGATATGAGATAAACTCTCATAGTTCAAATTATGCAAGGGCAAGGCAGGCATGCTGACTGGAAAGTTGTGTATGCCATTGCAGGCCAAATACAGGATCCTCAAAAATGTGCACTGCAATCTTTGAATACATTACCTTACACAGCCAAATAGACTTTGCAAATGTTATTACATTAGGGATTTGGATATTGGGAGGTTGTCTTTGATTATGTAGGAGATTTCAATGTAATCACCAAGGTCTTTATTAAAAATACAACAACAACAACAACAACAACAAAAACAGGGAAGCTCAGGTCCATGAAGAAGGGAGGAGGGAAACAGAGGTCAGAACAAATTGTGGAGCCAAAAAATAAGAATGGCCTGAATGAGCTCAGAAAAGGCAAGGAATTGGTTCTCCCCCAGAGTCCCCCAAAAGAAACAGTGCTCCAAAATCGTGACTTTAACCCAGTGAGACTGACTGTGGTCTTCTGAATTATACAACACTAACATAATAAATCTGAATTGTTTTAAGCCAACAGCATGGTAATTTAGAAACTGATATGAATAGAGTTCTAAGCCTCAACGTTGACAGGAGTAATGAGCTTGTTTGTTTTGTTTTTTTAATTTGAGAGAGATTGCTTAGCTTGAACAGTAAATAATAACGTAGTGTTCATTTCAAAATTGCTAAAACGTTAAATTTCAAATATTCATACCACAGAAAAATCAGTATGAGGTGATGGATATGTTAATTAACTTGGTTTAATTATTCCACCTTATGCTCATCAGTCATAACATCACCTGTACTCCACAATACATATAGTGACAATTTACCTATTTACAATTAAAAATTGAAAACAAACTAATATAAGTATTGAGAGATGATCCCTTTTCCATGCATACTAATTATTACAATTAGTTGAGGCTGAACATCAGGCATCCAGGCATCTGAGAACCTAGAAGGTGTAAGAAATTAAGAGATGTGCCCATGTGGTACATGACAATGATGGAGAGGAAAAAGTACCCTTTAAGGATTCCAGGTGGACACTCAGTGCTCATATCCACTGGACAGCCAGAGTGTTTAGGAAAGTAGCTTCCAGCCCAGGTGAGACCTATTGGCCAGGGAATATTGTCATGTCAATCTGTTAATTCACTATAATAGCTTCAAGATCAATTAACTTGACTTTAATTTTTTGATTAGCATTATAATTTACATGTATACTTTTCAATCTCAATAGAGTAATCTAAAACATTGCACAATATTGGAAGGTACCTGTTAAATTTTGTAGGACACAGAGAAAAGTAACTACATTAGTCCTTGCATGATTACTGTTTTATTTAAGCATTTCTAATTTGTTTTAAGTATACATAGTTCATTAAAGTACAGCTATGAGAAGTAATAATAGAAACTCAAAAATTTCTTGGACCATGAATGTTTCTATTTTTAAAATATTTAGAAAAATTATCCTTTGAATGCAGTAGAAAAATGGGTAAAATGAAAAGGATCATAAGTGTTTCAATTAAATATTACTAATTTGAAAATAGAACAAAGTGAAGAATTCTAAAGTCTAACAGTTTTTGAATCAATTTTTAATAAGTGATTATAAAGGTGAAATATAAAATGATAAATTTCTTTTTGAATATAGTTTGCTGGAAAACCATTTTAAAAAACACAAACATTAGAAAAGAAGTACTACTAATATATTCACAAAGGAGTCTATGATATAATGAAAGTTTTGCCACTATGAGCTTATTTAACCTGTCTTAATTCCCTCAAGGGCATGGGAAAGTAGTTCATAATTTCTATATATATAAAGTTTGTTTCATTTTTAATTTATTTAATGCTTGTATTGATTGCTAGGATATTTCAATAAATATGAAATGAACTCTGCCTCTATGGAACACACAATGGCCAAGCCCTGGAGTTGGCTAGTGGTGCAGCCCTTGATTACAGAAGTGCATAGGAAATCATAATACAAACAAAAAGGGGTGGGGGAACAATTGCCAAACAAGGACCTTTGAACTAAGTATTAAAGACTGCTATGGATTAAATGAAATTTCATCCCCACTCAAACTCATATTGAGGCTTGATCACCACTGTAATGGTTTTGAGAGGTGGTAAGGCCTTTAAGAGGCATTTGGGGTCATAGGGAATACTACACTTAGAAGAGATTAATGGCCATCTCAAAGGAGTAGGTTCAGTCTTGTAGGACTGGATTAGTTACCACATGACTGAGTTGTTATGAAGGAATCCCCCCCCAGCCATGTACTTTATACATGCCTATTTCCCCTTATGCTTCGCAATAATGTCACACAACTAGGGGATCCTTCCTAGATGTGGATACCATGCAGTTTGGTCTTTTTAGTGACCAAAATCATGAGCCAAATAAAACTCTTTTCTTTATACATTATCCAATATCAGGTATTTTGTTATAGCAGTACAAAATAGACTGATATAAAGACGTAAAAAGGAAGTAAAGTAAGTGTAGAAAAAGAGGGTGTTTGTCATTTTCAAAGCCACTGAAATATATGGGAGTATATCTTCTCCAGGAGAAGATACCCTAGAAATCATACCTTCCCTTCTTTGATCTTGGTCCCAATAATTTGTCGTCTTTGCTGAATGATCTCAATGAGAAGATCACACTCCTCTGTCAATTTGGCTTCCTGACGTGATGCATTGACCTATAGGACAAATAAATTAGCAGTTAATTTGGCCTTCATTTCTACTTAGATAATATTTTTCATGTATACTAATTTGTTTCTAGTAATCTTTGAAAGTATATTTTAAATGTTAACTTTTTAAAAATACTTTTTAGTTGTCAGTGGACCTTGTATTTATTTATATGTGGTGCTTAGAATCAAACCCAGTACCTCACACATACTAGGCAAGCACTCTCCCACTGAGCCACAACCCTAGCCCCTAAATGTTAACTCTTTTCTTATTATGCAAGGATGGAAAATACAGGACCTAATTGCCTACTCCCTATCTTGTATCATTGGAAAACATTATTATCCAATGAGAATAAAAAAATTTCTGCTAGGCCAGAAGCAGCCTCAGAACCTTTAGGCATTCGAGGCAAGCACTCTACCAACTGAGCTATATTCCCACCCCACAACCTTTCTTAACATAAGAGGTAAATATCTATTACCTATTAGTTGGAAATTGACATGTGAAATGAAATATATTTGTAATTCCTGCTTTTATATTTTGGGAAAATGTGTCAAACTTGTCCTGTTAAACATAATGAGTAAATTTTCAACAAATCTTATTATTTGATGGAAGACAGAGTACTATCAGTATCTTGTAGAGAAATTTTCCAAAAGCAAATGTAGTCAGCTTACATAACATTTATCTTAAAATTTTTCATTAAATATGGATAAAATATGTAATCAGTAATAAAACACTGAAAAAATACTCAAAAAGATGGTTGGACGTTGTATTTATCTCAAGACATAATTTTAAGTTTCACTCCTGGTAGGCTGAAAAGCCAAGCTTCGAGGGAAGTGCACCATTCTTGTGAAAAGGTGGATCCTCGAAGAATGGCCAGCACTGGAAATTTTTGACTCATTATATGCAAGGGAGAGTTACAATTAGCTCATTCTTGGCAACTTGACTTGGGAAATACTCAGTACATGCTATTTCCTCCACCTCATGACAATTCTGAAAGGCTTATTCACCAACATAAATCACAGCTGTGGGAGATGGAGATAGAATGCACAAGTTTTATTATTTTAGCACAGCCACAGGAGAAGTTGAAATGTTACAAAGAATGACAATGGCACTGATTATTCTAGTATATCTCACAGAAGAGACAAGGCTCTCTTATGAGGCCATTTGATTTGGAGATTTTTACTACTGTAAACTTCATTTTTTATGAATGAGATGCACTGGAAGTAGGGTCATGAGTTCATGATAAAAATCTACAGATCATGGCTCAGAGAAACTATGTCTTGTTTCTAGAGGCTCAGGATCCCTTGAACTTTGTTCCTGGTCCTTATCAGACACAACATAAAGATTACTCAAGATATCTTATTAAGATATCATGATTTCCTGTAAATGGCTGCTGACCATCATCAGCAGCCATTTACAGGAAATCATGATATTATGTCCTACATCAGATTAGCACACATAGGTATTTGCTAAACATTCATTCAATTAACAAAGAAAAAATGTAAATGCATTGATTGACAAGTGCAAAATATGGAATTTATACCAATACTTCAAGAAAGATAAACCTAGTGATTATCTTTCTTGAAGTATTGGCATAAATTCCCATGTATTACTTTTATGTCATCATTTCTAGCACAACTTAAGGTTTTGCACACAAGTTTAGCTGTCTATTGAAATGTTTATTAGTTACCCTCAATAAATTTCTTCTTTCCTTTTGACCTCATACTGAATTTAAAAACTGATCACAGCTGAGCTATGAAAAGGAAGGGATCATACTGATAACATTAGCACAGTCTCAGGAGGCTGAGACAGAAGGATTGCAAATTCAAAGCCAGCCTCAGCAATTTAGTGAGACCCTTCCTCAAAATAAAAAATAAAAGAGCTGGTGATGTGGCTCAGTGGTGAAGCACCCCTGGGTTCAATTCCTGGTTTTAAAAGAAAAAAAAGCACATTATGATGAAGAAAATTAAATTTCTAGAAAGTAGCACTGACAAAGATTCTTAGCTTGGCCAAATTTTAGTCAGGCTCCTGCATCTCGTTCTAGGCCCATCTGTGCACTTCCTTGTAAAATCAACTTTTAGCAAGAAACTTGCTAAGCTGGTTTCATCAGAATCCTTCCCCATACCCAAGGTGATGTCTGATCACCTGGCCTGCTTTTAGCAAGGATTATTTTAGGTTAATTTAGTCAGAACCAACCTTACCCCCTTAATAGTATCCATTTTGCTCTCAAAATCATTGGGATTTGAGTTATTTTAGGTTAGAAAAAAAAAGTTTCAGTTGCCATTATAACACAAGGTTCAATTTAGTACAGATTCTGAATAGTTGATGTTTTGGGGATGAATAGGTTGACTTTATCAAAAAAGTAGACTGTAATCTACTGTGTTGAGCCAAATACATTTAAGAAACCTGATCCATAATCATCATCACCCCGAAATGTAATTCCCAGAAAGTTGGGAACATGATCTATTCATCTTAGGCCAAATATTTTCTCAAGATCATTCAAAGAATACAGGCTGAACTTTTCTTTGAAACCAGGAAGGCTGAATCTCTTTTTCTACTTTGATGAAGTTCCAAATTTTTGTTAACTCTAGCATTCTTATGTTCCTCAAGGTACAATAAAATAAGTGGAATATTATCCTATGTTTTTAAAAGTATTGCACGACAACTAGGTTTTCCACAGATTTGTTGTTTCATGTGTCATTTTAAAAAGTGTTAATGATTTGATTGGACTTCATTTCTCATATGAGCCATTAATTCAAATATAGTAGGGTTTACAGGTTACCTGCAATATGTTCAGGTGTTTCTGGTGCTCAGGTTTGGTTTGGAAACTAGCAGCTCCCGGCTATAATTTTAACTTGTATTTCAGATTCACATCACTTGATTTAAAAAAAATCACTGTAGCTAATGGAAGTGCTCTGAATGGGGCCAAAATTCCTTTCCTTAATCTACACTTAGCACTTTTGTGTCATCAGTCTCTTCCTAGGTCCCTCAGTACAAGGCAAGTGTGGAATGGAGATAATTAGGAGTGCTGCCCAGTCGTAGGTGATTACTATATACCACCTTTGGATCACATTGGAACTAGGGCACACTGTTCCTTTAGCACCCTTGACTTCTCAGGACAAAATTTAACTTAAAATTCAGTCCTCCTCCTATGACAACCTCCTCGATATTTGTTTTTTCCTCAAGTACACTGTTGAACAAATTTCACATCAGCCCCTCAAGTGAAGCTTGGCCATTTTTGTCTGGTCATTCTTTTGGCCTCACCTATTTGCTTAGAGTGCACAGCTCAACATCTACAGTCACAGCTCTCTTTCTTTTAAAAGGCATCATCTTTCCCCCATTGTTTTCTTCTATTCTTTAGGACTAATTTCATCTATTTGCAACATACTATACTTAATTCCTCTAAAGTTAAATCTGACCCAATCTCAATTCTTTCTATATTGAGTACTACCACCTCTTTTCATAGGCCCTAACTTGCTGAGGACACAAGTGCCACAGCCAATGTTGTGCCAGTTTGAGTCCTGACAACTTTTTTAAAATGCTTGCAGCTGGGCACAGTGGCACCCGCCTGTAACCCCAGTGACTTGGGAGGCAGAGGCAGAAGAGGCACAAGTGCAAAGTCAGCCTCAGCAAATTAATGAGGCCCTAAGCAACTCAACAACACCCTGTCTTAAGATAAAAAAATGAAAAATACTGGGGATGCGGCTCAGTGGTTAAGTACTCTGGGTTCAATCCCTGGTACAAAAACAAAACAAAACAAAACAAAACACACTTGCAATGATTCCTTTGAAAAAGCCAATCCGAACTGTTCAATCACTCATTCATTCAAAGGAGAGCTAAAGAATTCTTAATAGTGTATCAGCACTCCAACTGCTGTGCATACAGTGGGTTGCAAGAAAGACAATGTCTCCATTATCACAGAGTTTACACCCAAGTGTAGAAAACCCGCTGAATGAGTAAACAAATAAAAATTTCAGACTTACAGGTGGGGAAAAGAAGTTAGAGGGTAATGTGGTCAAGCATGGGTGAGAGGGGGTTCTTTTTTTTTAATTTTTTATTGTTGGCTGTTCAAAACATTACATAGTTCTTGATATATCATATTTCACAATTTGATTCAAGTGGGTTATGAGCTCCCATTTTTACCCCATATACAGATTGCAGAATCACATCAGTTACACTTATGAGTGGTCAGACAAGAATTCTCTGCTAATACCCTTGGGGGATGAAAAAGAGCCAACCATAAGATGTGGTGAGGGTGTTTGCAGAACTCCAGGCAGAGTCCAGCAGGTTAACCTCCTCCTCCATCACACCCAGTCCATCTGCCTTATTTGCAGATTCTGTATGTATAATTTTTTCTGGCTATGTAATTTAAAAAAAAAAAAATATTTGTAACAACCAAATAATACTTGGGTCCTCTTGCCTCCATTTGCAGACATACACAGAGTATCAAAACTGAATTGCCCTACCTGCACCCAGCTGAGGCTGAACAGGGCAATGCTTTGTCTTATGTGTCAGGTCTCATGCACAAATAACCACAGAATGAACATAATATGGAAGACTCTGGCTTGGAGTCCCAACTCTTGCACTTGTTAGTAGGGTGGCCTAGTAGGGTGGTCTCAGGCTAGTCACTTACTTCTGATCCTTGTTTGCTGTTTTGTAAAATAAAAAAAAAAAAATGGAATCTACCCTGATGGGTTGCTTTTAGAATTTAAGGTTATAATCCTGGTGTGATAGTCTGTATATGTATATGTACTCATATATACAAATTTCTCCTGGCAGCAATGGTTCAGTCCAGTATTCCATAGTTCAGAACTCACAGTGATTTTATAGAATGTAACTATTGCAAATAACAAGCATTGGTTGTTACTCTCTGGTGTGTCATCTTTGCCCTAAGTATTTTGGAAGCAGGGAGGGTAGAATAGGCAGGGAAATTACATAAGAAAAGCACAGTAGAAGAATCTTGCCTGTAGGGAGTTGCTGACTCACTTTCTACTATTCCTAGGGTCATTTT